GGACAAATCCAAGCTTGTTTTAAAAAATAATATATATATATATATATATATATATATATATATATATATATATATATATATATATATATATATATATATATATATATATATATATATATTTATATATACATAAAATAAATAATACAGCTAATAATGATAACATTATACAAAAGCAAATTGTTTCCCAGAGATGGGTTGTGGCTGGAAGGGCATCTGCTGCGTAAAAACTTGCTGGATAAGTTGGTGATTCATTCCGCTGTGGCGACCCCGGATTAATAAAGGGACTAAACCAACAAGAAAATGAATGAAAAGCAAATTGTCACGAATAAATTAAAAAAGCTCCACGGGATGAAGAAGGTTTGGAGGCAGTGGTTTTTAAATTTATGTAGGCTAGAAAATAATGTTTTGTAATATTTTAATCCTTTATTTATTTTACATTTGTAAAGATATTTGTGTATTGCTGTACATTCTGTGTGTATTAAGCAATGTTTAAGCGAGACGCACAACTAACGCTCTCTGCGCTGGACAATAGACCGGGTTTGATCTGGTCTATTGAACAATCTTTTATAGTTTCTCAAAATAGCAACGTGCCAGCAATACACCATAACACACCTCCTTTATAGAGCAGAATGGGTGCACATATGAAACATCAAAACGACTCTTGCGCTGAGCTGAAACTAGCAAACAACAATTGCGTCGCGCCTTGTGCCGCATTGCGCCGGGTGTATGATAGGGCCCATAATGCGGCAGGATTTGTATATGACAACATTTTAAAAAAAATATATAGTGCAATGACAGTTTATACAACAAATAATTACATAAAATGTTTATGAATTACAATTACAACAGAATTATAAAGAAATGAGGCAAAATGATTAAAAAGTTCAATACTACAAGTGCAGCAAACTTGTTTTCACCTGTGACAGCTTTAAAAACGATAGTGCAGTAACAATATCATTAAAAAGAATTACATTTGCAATACATGCATGGTATCTAAGGCTGCTTTCACACCTGTGAATCGATTCAGTTGTTCCGAAACAGAGATTTACATTGTTACATTGTTGCTCTTTGCTCTTGGAGTGGTTCGCTTTCACATTGCAAAGTTTCTAATCGGACCAAAAGAGCTAAAACAATTCACGTGCGAGTAAACTCTCCTCACATTGGTCAGAGTGTCAGGGTTTATTTTGCAGCGTCCCGCTCAGCTGTCAGGAGAGGTGGTGGTTTGATGGTGATTGACAGGGTGCGCGCGCGATGTGTCTGAGGAGAGATGCGGTGGGGAGGGGTGAGAAGGGTGCGCAACGTAGCCTATTTAAGGACCGGGAGGGAGACGCGAGATTACCGGGAGATCATCACTCGTTTGCGGGCATCCGGAGTCTCGCGAAACTTCCTGCCATACTCATAATTCTCTCTTCATATAGCCGTATGCCTATTACATATCCATAAAACACTGTGATATAACCGCGCTCATATCGGATTGCTTTCTCACTGTAATCAACCGCTCCAGGGTTCGTTTCAATCGAGCCGAGACCACCTCATTCAAGCGATCTTGGAGCGATTACTTTGGCGCGGAACAGAGCGCAATTACCCTGTTCACATATGCCAAACGAACCGCGCTAACTGGGCAATCGAGACACGTTCCGAAACAAAAGTGTAGGTGTGAAAGCACCCTTACAAAACCTACAAACAAAGTCAAAAATACTGATAACGAGCCAACATCATGAGAAAACTATAGTGCAGTAATAGCTGTGATACAACAAGAATGTCAACAATGTTTTGTAGTTGAGAACAAAATGGTGTTGTACCATATATTGATAAAATAACAGTATATTTTGTTTCATAAAAAGCTATTTTTGGATAAACTAATACTTCTAGACAAAACAAATCCATTATTTCTTTGAGTAAAATAGCACATTTCCTACTTTTACAAGCATTGGTGTTGCGTCCCTCAGCGGGTCTCCAGGGCAGATCATGGTAAAAGTCCTGACAGCGTTCACAGTTCAGACCGATAGTGTTATGATTACACATACAATGACCATGAACCTACAACAAAAGAAGACACAACAATGATAATCCAGAACAAAATACTCTGAAGCACTGTAATTAAAATGATACCTTTTGGAACAGGATGTCTAAAAGCATAGATAACAGTCTTGACCTTGCATTTTTGTCATTCCTAATACAAGTAATGTTTCAAGGTTGTCCACTTTTCACTTACTTTCACTTTTTCTCTTTTTTAAATATTTCCCAAATGATGTTTAACAGAGCAAGGAAATGTTCACAGTATGTCTGATAATATTTTTTCTTCTGGAGAAAGTCTTATTTGTTTTATTTCGGCTAGATTAAAAGCAGTTTTACATTTTTAAACACCATTTAAAGTCAAAATTATTAGCCCCTTTAAGCTAGAAAAAAAAATCATTGTTATACGATAACTCGCCTAATTACCCTAACCTGCCTAGTTAACCTAATTAACCTAGTTAAGCCTTTAAATGCCACTTTAAGCTGTGTAGAAGTGTCTTGAAGAACATCTGGTAAAATATTATTTACTGTCATCATGACAAAAAATAAAAGAAATCAGTTTTTAGAAATTAGTTACTAAAACTATTATGTTTAGAAATGTGTTGAAAAAAACTTCTCTTTGTTGAACAGAAAATAAAAACAAAGGGGCTAATAATTCTGACTTCAACTGTATGAATAAATCATTTTTAATATTTAGTCGTTATTTAATGGTATATTTATTATGCGCTTGTGTGCTTCTCTTCACAAAAAGAACAGCTTTAAACATTCACATGTGATTTCATTTGAAAGTATAAAACTACTTTTTAAACAAAAATAATTCAACCGATTTCTATTTCATTTTTTATTCTGAGTTAAAAACATGCAACAAACTTATTCTAAGCCACCAAATGTGTCATCAGCGAATGAAATATAACATTAGACAACGCTTAACATTAGACATTATTTAGTCCATCCAATGTAAATTGCGGTTGCATACGTGAATGATTTGCACTGTAAAGTGTTGGTATGATTACAAATATATTGATATTTAGTATCAATAACGTCTCGCAGTTTGAAATATGGCAAGAAATCAGCATGTCAGTGCTGTTTTGTCCAATCTCCCTATATTTAAAGTGTGAACCAAAAGCCACATGTATAAGATACCGAAGTCTTTGGGCTCTATTTTGACGGTCCATGCGCAGAGCGCAAAACGCAGGGCGCAAACGCTTTCAGGGCGTGTCAGGACGCGTTTTTGCTAATTTAAGGACGGGAAAATCTGCCTTGCGCCGTGGCGCATGGTCTAACAGGGTTGAGTTTATTTTCTTAATGAGTTATAGGTGTGTTTTGAGAATAAACCAATTAGAGTCTCATCTCCCATTCCCTTTAGGAGCCAGCTGCGTCGCGCCAAGAGCGCATTCGCTATTTACAGGACGCAAAGTAAGTCTAAGTGGAAAAAATGAGCATTTCACAAGCAAACAGTTAACAGTTTTTTTAACAGAAAACAGGTAAACAGAGCATCTAATGCATGAGAATGAGAGATAATGGATCTACTTTCACATTCGCTCTTGGATAGGGAAACCTTTACGCACAGACATCAATTAGCCTATAAATAAATACTTTTTTTGTTAAGTGCAAATATTCGTTTCAAAACTATTTCTAAATTCAGTTCTAATTTCCAGCAAACGAATAAATGAACAATAATAACAAAATGTGCTCAAAAACCTGAGTTATATCCTAAAACACATGCTGTGCCCCATATGGTCTAAAACTTGACAGGTGGGCAAATCTAAGCTTGTTTTTAATAAAACAAATATAAATATGGATATAATAAATAATACTGCTAATAATAATAACATTATACAAAAGCAATCTGTTATGAATGAACTAAAAAAGCCTCCCGAGATGAAGAAGACATAAAAGCAGTGATTTTACATATTTATTTAGGCTAGAAAATAATATGTTTTGTAATATTTTAATCCTTTATATTTCCATTCTATATCTATTCTTATTATATCCTATATATATCCTTAATATTTAATTTTTTTTCATATGTAAAGATATTTGCCTATTGCTCTCTTGTGCGTATTAAGCAGTGTGTAAGCGAGGCGCAACTCTGCGCCAGAGTTTATACTGGGTTAGTTTTGGTCTAATGAAAAATCTATTATGGTTTCTCAAAATAGCAACGTGCCAGCGGTCCACCTCAGAACGCCTTTAGACCAGAACGCCTATGGGCGCACAAATGAGCGCTAATGCATTTGCTATTTAAACAGCGTAGCGCAACGCCTCAAAACGACTCTTGCGCCAAGCTGAAACTACCAAAATACTATTGCACCGCGCCTTGCACCACACTGCGCCAGGTGTATGATAGGGCCCTTTGACTGTACTTGGTAAAGATAGTAAAAATTAGTAATACATTTATTGTTGTATTCATTCATCTTCGTTAATGTAACATTAGTTCAGGTTAATTGCTAATGTTGACAAGTACAACTTTGGATTTTAATAATGCATTAGTAAATGTTGAACTATGATTAATAAACAAAATTAACCAATAACTAATAATAAATACATTAACTAACATTAACTTTAGGATTCTTATTTTAAAGTGTTACCAAGTTTTCTGCTAGTTTTTTCGCCTTTTAGCCAAAAAGCAGTACTCCTTTTTTAGATGTGATGGAGCCTACTTTAAACCAAGGCCCACTCACAAAATTCCTGGCCTTACCACTGCTTTATAAAACAAACAAAAAAACACTTAGAAAAAAAGATGAAGTTGCTCTAAACCCGTCGACAAAATTCATCCTTAAACCAGATGGTAAAAGGAAATGTTTACACTGGATGCATCTGGTTTACATTGAACAATCTCCAGCCTTGGAACATACATGGGGACTGAAAAATGAACTGCGCTGTACCTGGAAACAATCTACAGTCTCTTCAATGCCTTTCAATGAAATGTCTGCACATTTGTGAGACTGTAATCTGAAGGTCATTTCAGCTCACTGCTTTTGTAAAGGTTGCGAAAGAGTGAGACGCATCTCAGTCGAGACGGACTGTAAACAGAGGAAACACTAGACTAAACAGGAACCTCATCCTTTGGTACATTTCATCTTTGGCTTTAAGGAACCCTTGACTTAAAAGCACACAGTGAAACTTCAATTACAAATGGAACAAAACCAAAAAAAGGTTTGTAAACAAGATTCTCTGTGTGCTTTTTCTCAGCGCTGTGATTATTTGCACTGTAAACGATTCAATAATGAAACCATGAGGCGGCCCGCATAGTTTCAAACTAATGTGAAACAGATCCAGACTGAATTAGCAGCAGACTGAGAAAGGGAGTTCAAACGATTTTCCTTCATGACAAATGTAAGTGAGATGTTTTCTTCTAAACAGGGGTTACGAGAGCCGCAAAAAGTCTGAGCATTTAAATGTACACTGTAAAAAATATTTCTTAATGAACTGTTTCAGTATTTTGTGATCTACCATTTATTTACGGTGGTGAATTGCATTGTGGGGCCTTGATCTCTGCTCTGTCGACTTTTGATGTTGACAATTCAACTCTACAGTCTGAAGGCTGATTTATACTTCCGCGTCAAACGCACGCTTATGCTACGGCGTTGACGCATAGCCCTACGCCATGGCCGTTGGCATCGCTGACGTGCACCTCTAAAGCCTGATTTATACTTCTGCGTCAGGTGACCGGCGTAACCCAGGGCACATGCAACGCGCGTGGCTGTGCATTTATACTTCTGCGCGCTGTCTCTGTCAGTCTGCATTAACACTTCCGAAACGCTAGTGGGCAGTGAGGTGTAAATGTTCCTCTGTGTCGAGTTTCTTCGCTGCTGTTTTGTTTTCCTGAACACTTCCTGGATGTACAAGTGGCTCAAACTCGCTCATTTTGAGGCAGGAACCGGCGGACGTGCAACAACTTTAACTATGAGGTAAACACAAAACAAAACTTTCCATCCGGAGCTCCTTCACGGTACTTTACACTTGTAAACAATCGCTCGCGCCATTCACGCGGCTCTCGGTCCCGCCCAGACTCGTCATCGCTAACAAGCCGAACAATCACAGAGCTTACGCTACGCGTCGTTGCGACGTGTAGTTACATTTTTTGAGAGGTGCACGTCAGCCACGGCCACGGCGAAGGGCTATGCGTCAGCGCCGTAGCATACGCCGGTGTTTGACGCAGAAGTATAAATCAGCCTTAAAAAATGTAACAACACGTCGCAACGACGCATAGCGCAAGCTCTGTGATTGGTCGGCTTGGTAGCGCTGACGAGTCTGGGCAGGACTGAGAGCCGCGCAAGCCCGATTGAGCGATTGTTTACAAGTGCGGAGTCCCGTGAAGGAGCTCCGGATGGAAAGTTTTGTTTTGTGTTTACCTCATAGTTAAAGTTGTTGCACGTCTACAGGTTCTGCCTCAAAATTAGCGAGTTTGAGCCACTTGTACATCCCAGAAGCGTTCAGAAAGAACAAAACAGCAGCGAAGAAACTTGACACAGACATTTTAAAACCTCAGTGCCAACTAGCATTTTGAAAGTGTTAATGCAGACCAACAGAGACAGCGCGCAGAAGTATAAATGCACAGCTACCTGCGTTGCATGCGCCGTTAGTTACGCGGGTTACTTGAAATAATCTAATGTATAAGAAATAATATAGAGAGAAATAAGTCTGTAAAATAAGGTATGGCAGGTTATTACAAAGTTTGTATAGTGTAATATACAACACCAACCCAGACAATATATCACATGAGAGTCATTTCAGATTTTTTTGGCAAATGCATTTGTTTAAAGAGCCATTTGGGGATATTATGAACCATCACATGTTGAGCAAGTCCATGTATTAAGGATAATTTATAGATTTTTTTTTCTTTTCGCCATCAACACTCATGAATGTTGTTTGAATTTACGTGCGCAAGGTTACCATAGAAATGTCAGTTGCATGCCCTTTATTGGTGCCGCGATTCAAGTTAATTGAAGCCACACATGTGCATTGGATATTTTTACAGTATGGCATAAATCAACGATTACTCCTTTTACTGGGTCATAAATTAACAATTAATTATTTTTCTATAAAGGTTTGAACTTTGAGAGTGTTTAAATGAGAGAGAAAAGTGTGAAAATGTTAACGCCTGTCTGAGAAAAGTGTATAAAGTGTGTAGTGAAGGGCTTTGAAGCCTTAAAACATCTATAATAAATGTAAAAAATTAACTACTCTGTGGATTTCACCTATTGTAGGCAATTTTTTAGAACGTAACTACCGCAAATAACGAGAGAACACTGATTATCAGTTATCGGCTTTTTTTATTGGTTATTTTTACGTCTAAATTTCCACATCAATACATCCTTACAGAAAACTCCGACCCAAACAAATTCTGAAAACGTAGTCCCGCAGACGTTTCTAGAGACCACAATTTATGTAGCCGAAGGTACGTATGGCTGCATTTCATTTTTTTAATCAAACACTACAGGGCAGTGTGACGCCGTTCCTTTTCGCGCTCGCCGGCTCACTGCTTAGCTCCGTATGGAGGGCTTTCCCGCCACAACCAATTTGTTCAGTTAGCTCGTCGTTAACGCCGGCGGAGTTGGGAAGCAGAGGGGACCTAACCACGACCGGGTTGAGTCCGGGGAAGAGCGGTTCCAGAAATCAGCTAAGACAAAAACAGAATCCATAAAATAAAGTGAACACGTAAATAACAGGGTGAAAATATGGTGAAATCCGAAAACGTGGTAAAAATCAGACGAGGGCTTTCCTTTTTCTAGACGGCTTTTGTAAATATTTGCTTGGGTTTAGGGAAGCAAGCGGGCAGGCGGGTCAATCTGTAAAACTGGTTGGGTTTAGGGAAGGAGGAAGAAGGTGAGTCGGCCGATTGGCCGGTCGCCCAGTCAATCATTTAGTCAGTGGGACAGACGGTCACTCGACAGCAGCCTCCGGTGGGTTTACGCAAGAACATCGCCGGGACGTTCAAGATGCGAAAAAGCGCACACAGCAGATTCGCAAAAATAAAACTGCACAAATACACACCTCCAAGGACGTATTTCGCGGTCTCCAGAAACGTCCACGGGACTACGTTTTCAGAATGAGACTGTGTTGCAAAACTCACCATGCCCTCCACTGCCTCTCCAGTTCCATCGACAGGGGCGCATTCAGATGCGTGACCATAGCAAAAGCAGTTTCCTCTGACCACCATGTCGTAAATAGCATAGTAATACTTCTCCTTGATCTCTATACGTGAGTCCAGCAGGTTGTCGCCGAGAGTGTGCAGTTTAGTGAACTTCACCCTCAGATTAGTGATCTTCAACATGTCTAGAGAATATGCAAAAGTGAGAAGTTAGTAATACAAACATTTGGCAGGTCTGTTTTGCCCAACGTATGCTTATATAAATAAATATACTTTTATTATTTTTTGCGTGTTTGATCATCAATACAGTACTCACACAGCCTGATTTTCCTAGTCTTGTACAATATTACAATTGGTTTTGCACAAATTATTTAATTACACTGATTTCATTTCAGGCGACGCAGTGGCGCAGTAGGTAGTGCTGTCGCCTCACAGCGAGAAGGTTGCTGGTTCAAGCCTCAGCTGGGTTATTTGGCAAAAATATAATAAACATTCAGAACATCACACAGTGTCTGCAGAAGCTGTTTTTGGAGGAGACAAGCAGACATCACTGTGTATCATTGTGTTTGCCCTGGCCTAATTCCGCGCATGTCAACAGGGTACGAAACGTGACACACACAAACATACACGGACAAACGTTATGAAACCGATAGTTTGTTGTACAGTTTGCGGTTCACTACCGTTATTTAATACGATTGCATTCACATCAGAAGTGAACCGTACCAGAGTTCGCATGGACCGTACCCCAGACCACCTCTTTCAGGATGACTTGAGTACGGTTCACATGTTCAGAAGACACGTTTACACTAGCTAAACGTACCGTACTATGACGTCAAATGAACCCAGGTGTGGAATTTGAATTTCGACTAGTCAAAAATCCAATTCAAGATATCTACAACTGTAATTCGAATATTAGTAAATTAATTAGAGATATCTTCAAATATATTTGTAAATATCTCTAAATATGACGAATTAAAGATATCTACAAATGTATTATGACTAGTAAAAACTCAGTTAGATATATCTTTAATTACAATTGTTACTAGTCAAAATTCATTTGGAGATATCTCTAATTATAATTGTGACTAGTCGAAATTCATTTAGAGATATCTGCAAATATTTTTCAATGGAAGTCAATGGAGGAATATGACTAGTCATAATATATTTGCAGATATCTCCAATCTGATTTCGTACTAGTACAATTGTAATTGCAGATATCTCTAATTGTCATTCTGAGTAGTCGAATTATAATTTTGACTAGTCAAAATATAATTAGAGATATCTCTAAATATATTTATGGAGTCAGAACAAAGATTTAAATGCTAAAAAGGCTTGCCATAGAGAGCGCTTCTCACTGAACAGCGCAGCAGCAATGACGTAAGCGTGCCGAGGCCCGATATGGTTTGAGTGCTTGCCGTCGGGGGAGACGGGAGGGGGGACAAGCGTGCTTTGGCTAGGTTCGAGGCAACTGTACCTAGTGTGAGTACGGCCTTAGACTACTTTTTGATATAACTTGGATTTTATTATTTATATATCCTAAATTTCAGAAATGAATGTACATGAACCTATAGCCATGGAAAAAAGAAATTTGTAAAACGAGTATATTATTAATAATTTACTGCCATTGGGTTTTGTAATCCCGCAATCAAAAAAAAAAAAAAAAAAAAACAGTAATGTAATTTGATTCTAAGTAGGGCTGGGTGACATGGCAAAAAAATGATCATGATAATGTTTTCCATATCAGTCAATATTGATAATTATCACGATAAATGTCAAATCTTTATATCTGTCAGTTTGATAGGATTTTCAGCATGCCAATCGCTTTGTCCAGCTGATTTATCACATTTTGTGACCTGTTTTAGCTGTCTGACAATATGAATAAAAAAATAATAAACAAAAGAACCATCTTAATCATTATTCAGCATTTGCTGTTTAAGTTTTCAACAATCAAAGACGTTATCCTACAAGTTCATTCATTCATTCATTCATTTTCTTGTTGGCTTAGTCCCTTTATTAATCCGGGGTCGCCACAGCGGAATGAACCGCCAACTTATCCAGCAAGTTTTTACACAGCGGATGCCCTTCTAGCCGCAACCCATCTCTGGGAAACATCCACACACACATTCACACACTCACTCATACACTACGGACAATTTAGCCTACCCAATTCACCTGTACCGTATGTCTTTGGACTGTGGGGGAAACCGGAGCACCCGAAGGAAACCCACGTGAAGGCAGGGAGAACATGCAAACTCCACACAGAAACGCAAACTGAGCCAAGATTCGAACCAGCAACCCAGCGACCTTCTTGCTGTGAGGTGATAGCACTACCTGCTGCGCCACTGCCTCGCCCTATCCTACAAGTTATTGTATAGTATTGTTCACCTTCATAAAAAAATGAAAACAAATTTGGAACAAGTAAAAAGTGAGTTAAAGGTGACAGAATTTTCAGTTTTGGATGAACTCTCCTTTTAATGTATGGTAAATTTAGGGTGAAATATCCTTTATTTTATTTAGGGATGGTAGCGATTACTTGATCTATTGATTATCAATAACCTTTTAAACAATTGAACTTATCGATGACTGATTAAGCATGCATATTTAAAGGTTAAGTAATGCTTTGTGCTGTGAGGCACGTCCACATATTACACAATCAAGTGTGTGCAGTTTACCTTTTCTAATTCCAAGTATTTTTAAATGAAATATTTTCCTCTGATTTATAATACAGAAAAAAAATGTGTGTTGATGAGGAGATAAAAAAGCCACAACTCTGTTGTGCATGTATGCTAATGTGCAGATACAACATGAGAAATTAACATTAAAATGATTTCAAAGAAAATGCGATTGCTTTTTTAATGCCTTTACTTTGAATTCTGGGGCTGTAGGGATCCTCAATCCTGAAGGCAGGATCCAAAACCCTAAAAATGACCTTCAGAAACAAAAGAAACAACAAGTCAACAAAACAAATCCAGTATTAAAGAAAGAATTCACTAGAAGGGCAGTAAATTTCCAGTTGCTCACCTCGCCCTCAGTTGAGGGTTCGATGTCAGAGTAGCGAGTATCACATATAACATCGTCAACTTTGGTCATTGGCCCATGAGAGACAGAAGGGAAGGAGGACTCACAGTCATAAGCAAAGTAACGGTAAACTTGCCAAGTGTTCCCGAAGTCTGCCGAACGCTCGATCACCATTGCAGCCGGTCGGAACGTCTGTGATAGAGGACATAAATAAGGCAATATTACTTCCAATATTGACCATAATCATGTTTTACCAGGATTGCCCCTCACACAACACTTTTACTCATTATTTCACTTTGAATTTTAATTGTATTGAAACTGACATACCAAGATCTCATAACACTAAATACTGACAAAATGTTCATTCAATTATCATTTTCTTTTCGGCTTAATCCCTTTATTAATCTAGGGTCGCCACAGCGGAATGAATCACCTATTTATCCAGCATATATTTTACGCAGCAGATGCTCTTCAAGCTGCAACCCATCTCTGGGAAACATCCATTCACACTCATACACTACTGACAATTTAGCCTACCCAATTCACCTGTACCACATGTCTTTTGACTGTGGAGGAAACCGGAACACCCGGGAAAAACCCAAGCGAATGCAGGGAAGGCAAAATATGACATTTTTAATTAGGTTTTTAATAGAGATACAGCAATATGAAAAAAAAAAAGACTAATTTTATTATTTATGTTACAAACGGACAACATTTAAAATATTTTTGTAATCAAAAGATGAAATGCTAAAAAAAAATAGTAATAATAATTAAATGCTGAAATGTAGTTGAGGGATCTCAACATTAAACTATATTGCTAATGTTTACTTTACAATTAGCTAAGGAATATTACATTTACTACTAATATAGTAGTAACAGTGCATATTATAATATAATAAATCAAATTATATTTTGAACTACATTTTATTTTTATTCTTTACTGTAATTTTAGCAGTGTTTTCTGTTTGTCATTTGTACTTTATTCAAATAAAAAATATTTTATAAAAAAATTTCATTTTACTTTTAAAGTATATAAAGTGTATTATTTATTGTATGAATTATTAGCCCCCCTGACTTATTAGCCCCCCTGTTTATTTTTTATTCAATTTCTGTTTAAAAGAAAGCAGATCTTTTCAACACATTACTTAACATAATAGTTTTAATAACTCATTTCTAATAACCGATTTAATTTATCTTTGTCATGATGACAGTAAATAATATTAAACTAGATATTTTTCAGGACACTTCTGTGCAGCTTAAAGTGACATTCAAAGGCTTGACTAGGTTAATTAGGTTAGCTAGGCAGGTTAGGTTAATTAGGCAATCATTGGATAATGATGGTTTGTTCTGTGGACTATCGAAAAAAATATATATAGCTTAAAGAGGCTTATTACTTTGACCATAATAAGGTGTTAAAAAAATTTAAAAAATGCTTTTATTGTGGCTGAAATAAAACAAATCAGACTTTCTCTAGAAGAAAAATTATTATCAGACTTACTGTGAAAATATCCTTGCTCTGCTAAACATCATTTAGGAAATATTTATAAAAGAAATACAATTCAAAGGGGGGCTAATAATTCTGACTTCATATATATATATATATATATATATATATTTATATATATATATATTAGTTTGACAAACTTTAGTCTTTTAATATATAAGTTAAGATGTAATATCAAACATGCAATAGATTCAGGGCTGCATTGTGTTACTGTGGGTAGCACGTTTGCCCCACAGAAAGAAGGTCGCTGTTTCGAGCCTTGGTTTCACCCACAAGTCCAAAAACGTAGTATAGATGAATTGGGTAGGCAAAATTTTCCGTAGTGTATAAGTGTGTATAGATGTTTCCCAGTGATGGGTTGCAGCTGGATAGGCATCTGCTGCCTAAAAAATATCCTGGATAAGTTGGCGATTCATTCCACTGTGGTGACCCCAGATTAATAAAGGGACTAAGCCGAAAAAAACAAATGAATGAATGCCTGTTAAAATCTGTAAGGACTTAAACCATCCTGACAATTATCTATTCACTTTGCTTCCATCTAGAAAACGTTTCCATAGCTTGATGGCAAAAACTGAGAGACTTAGGAGGAGTTTCTTTCCCCAGGCCATAAGGCTGCTAAATTCTAACCCGGTGTTACACATTACGTGATTTTTTCGTATTTATCATTGTAGTAGTCATATTTATAAGTACATCATATTGCTGCTATTCTTATTACCTTGTATAATTTTTTGCACATCTTTTTTTTGCACACTTTTTTTTCTTCTTTTTCCTTAATATTTAATTTTTGATTATCTATACTATCTCTGGAGCGGACCTGACCTACATTTCACTGCTGGTCATACTTTGTATAACTATGTATGTGACAAATAAAACTTGACTTGACAATAGACTCAACAGACTTATTGGAAAAATGTCCCCAGAGATACATTTCTGAGAATCGAGAAATGTGTGCCTCGAGATACATGATGCCTCTAAATTTACGAGAAATAGAACATATAAGAAAATGTGCACCTGTAATATATTTGAGATTCTCAAACTCAAAAGTGTACACAGTGACCTCTAAAAGGATTGCAAAAACTACTGCTAGAAAGCGTAGTCCAGGGTACATATTTCTCAGTTCTCAAAACTGTACCCCTGGGCACATATCTCCAATACGCCTGTGGTTAGTAATTGCTAAATGTACTATATTACTGAAGTACTCTATCAATCTCAGATTTAATTAGTACTTGTGTTGGACCAATTCAATTATTATACAAATATAGCCTTCTCCAAATGACCGCTATTGTTCTGTTGCCGCAGCTCATTAACTATGCACTTTCTGATGTCTTTCAATTGCACTGCTAAAGTGAGATCATGCTGAAATGTAATCTTTATCCGAAGCATTCCAGCCGTCTCAGTCGACTACACAGCTGGGTTTATCCAGACCTCCCACAGCTCCCACACACTGAGCAACACTTCCCCTCCTTCAGGCCTAAATCCACATCAACCCCCCTTCATTCCCACATTCCCACATAACGATCTGCAATCTCACCTCAGGCCCGGGACAAGGCGACACCTTCCCCCTCCAAACACACACATACACACACACACACACACAGGAGTCCCCGAAGCACTCACTTTAAAGGTCATGATGAGGTGGGTGAAGTGGAACTCAGCCTCCAGGTCCAGCTGGATCGTGACGTTTTCCAGGCCTGAGAGGGAAAAAAGACATCACACTTGTCAATGCAAAGACATTTGTTCACTGCCAAACTGTTCTTACAGATATTTTCAAGAGTTCACACTTAGTTATTGCTCGATAAAATTTGTCCCAGGAGAGAACCCCGAACTCGGTGGTACTTGAGCCCAGGGCTCCTACCTGGTCATGTAGCATGAAAGTCAGGTAGTTCTGGGGAGCTCCCCCTAGTAAAAGACAAAAGGGGAGATGGGGGATTTTTCAAAACGGAGATAAGGAAGGTTGGACGAATCGATTTATTTATTGGAGGCTAGAATTCATCTTATTGGTCTCAAAATAATATCTGATTGGACTTGCAATGATTATTCATGCGAGACCAGCTGCAATCAATCATCTCACATGCTCCTCTCAATATCAGTTTATAAAACTTTTATTGGCAGCTCCAGATTTTATGGCTGACCCGAATCATACCGTACTGTACCAGTCAGTGGAAACGAGCCATTATATGGCTGTTTCCACTGTCAAAAGATACTCAAAAGCAAACCGTACCATACCACTTTTTGAAAGGGTACTTAGCACGACAATACAGTACTAAAAAGTGGTGCTAGACGTGCAGCTGAGCGCTATTGGTTTATTGAGAAACGTCACTAGCCCGTACACAAGCAGGAGAACGAAAACAAAAGAAACTGCATTTTTAAATACACAGCCGAGACATTACATCGTAATACTATATACATATAATAATGAGCCATGGTCCACCAGAGCTCAAACAAACCTTGTCGTTGTCTTAATGAACAGCCACAAAGTCAAGAAGAACAAAATCTGCCCAGTCCTGTTTTTGTTTCACGAGGCCGCCTAAAAGAGTGAGTGGTTTCACGTTCTCCAGAGAGCTTGCGCGCGCGTCTATATATGATAATAATTAACTTCTTGAGCTGATGATAATAACGTGCGCGTGGTTATTGAAGTGCTTCTGACATCAGATCCTTTCAGAAACGGACAAACGTGAGAGCGAAGCGCAAAAAAACAAAGGAGAAGCTGGAAAAAACAAAGGAGCAAATGATTCTTTCAGCAACCTAAAACACCAACAAACTGCCCTGTTTAACTATTATAATCACCTTTAGGACTATTACGAACTAAGAATTACTCTCTAACAGAAGCTACATGTGCTGCTAAAGATTAAAAAACAGATGGGAGGTTTGCACTGACTAGGCTATATGTTGCGTGTTGTTTTTGAACCCAAATAAGGACTACATGTATGCTGTGTGTAGTTTTTCTGTAATTGGTAACATATCGGAGACTGTATGTGTTCATATAAGTTACATTTATTAATTTTATATAATAGCAGACGTTTCCCTGGAGGGACAATCTTCCCACTCATCCAATCATTGCTTGGTTTGATCTGTCCACTACTAATCATTTTACCTCATGGATGTACAGAAAGGCGTTAGAGGCTACAGCAAAAAATTTAGAAATACAGCGTAGTTGGGAAACTGACAGTCAACTAGAAGAGGGTGTCACAGACTAGGAAAGAGTATGGCAGAACATTTGTCTTCATCTAAAAATCCCAATTACCAACTTATTCTTGATAACTTTTGTCATAGAACCTACTGGACCCCACTCAAAAGACATCGTATCAATGCCTCCTTTAGTCCTTTCTGTGATAAATGTCCCGACCAGGAACTTGGATCTTTTTTTCCATATGATGTGGGAATGTGAGAAAGTTTTTGAAATGAGGTCTGTGTCATCTTATCCAAAATTATTGAATATCCTGTACCAGTGAATCCTTCTGTTCTATTACTGAGTGATGATTCTACGTTGAACCTTACCAAGCCACAAAAAGATGTTCGGCTGGCTGGCTTAACTTCCTCTAAAAAATTTCTAGCCCAACTTTGTCTGCCTCCACATAATTTGGACATGTTCAGGACATCATAATGTTGGAGTTATCCACAGCGCGAGTGAACTTGGTACAAATGAGTACAATAAAGATCTGGACTTCAGCTGCTGATAAAATCTCCTTGTTTATTGCACTAAGAAATGATCAGGATCCAGAGTGATGGCCTTGCTTTGTATAATTGATATTGGATGCTGTATTCTGTTTTTGTTTTTATGTTAACTTTCAATTCTTCTGTCCTTTTATGTCAACTATTCATTGAATACCCCAGTTTCAAGAGACCGCAGGGGAGGGGGGGTTGGGGGTATTTGAATTGATATGTTTTATTATAGTTTTTGTCAGCCTATATGTTTTGTTAACAATAAAAAATACATATAGAAAATAATAATAATAATAATTGCAGACGTTACAGTAGGCTACTTAGCACTATTATTGATCTGCAGATCATAACCATGTTCATAAAAAGGTTAGTCATGAACATTTATACACAAGTATTTATGTGTATAAAGCATCTGTTTTGAGAGACGTGCTTCTCGTCTGATATGTGAACGACCCGTACGGCTTTACTTTGACATTTTCTTGAGCGGGAATGACGTCGACTGAAACTTTGTCGTACACTACGCCCACCAAAAGGGTACCGTTTAAGCTGTGGAAACACAAGCCTGATGAAGGTGACCTGTACCGACCCACACCGTACCGTACCACTCAGTAGAAACGGGCCATAAATAAAGACAGAATTTTTATTTTTGGGGTGAACTATCCCTTTAAAAAGAAAATACAGTAGATCTAAACTAACAGTGCATCATTTTATTCTTATTAAAATTACAAAAATAAAAGATTAATAATATTGTAACAAGGGCTTTTTTGATCACCAGCCACAGTGGCTAGTAGTTTTTAAATGTTACTAGCCACTCTGTATTTTCACTAGCCACAATTTTGTTGTTGGGAAAATATTTTTATATGCATAAATATGACTTTCACATGCTAAACTGACTTACTAAAATACTAAGATTTTGTGTTTTGTCCACATGTCTCATTAATCACACTTTTTGTGTGTCGTGTATGAGCAAACTCAACTCAAAATGAGGGATTTACCTAATTTATCTCTATAACCACACTAAACAATAATTATTTCTTAGCCACAAATTTTAAATGTGTCAAACAAGCAAAATATAGCTGTATACTATACTTTTAATTTAACAAAACATTTCTTTAAAAAAAAAAAAAAATAGAAAAACAATTGACTTTTAAAAAATAATTATTGTCATGTATCAAAAATATGCACAGTAATCTGTCCTGGCTAAAGTTCTCTCAGATCACCAGTTAACTACACATAAATGGAGAGTTAATCTTATATTAAAGGGTCACGAAACACCAAAACACATTTTTTGAGCTGTTGACAGTCGTATCTGTGTCCCACACTGCTAAAAACACTATTAGGACACCTATATTTCACTAAAAAGTGTAAATTGGTTGTTTTTGCGTTATTTTAAGCAAATTCGTACTTCCGGTTTGAAACGAAATTTTGAAGCTGCGTCACGGTCATGACATAATAGCGTTGTATTCCAGCGTGCAGACTGGGCGTCTGTGCCAGAGTGTATCTTATTACGTCTCAGAGTGTGCTGCATTAATGCATGAGTAAGGCTTGAATCAAACCAATCAGCGCGCTCTATTGTGCAACTTCATTAATATTCATTACTGTCACAGTGTTTAGACGACAGACACACCACGTTGTATTGGCAAAACAAGCATGAAGTGTTGCTTTTATTGTTTGCTGCAGTGAAGTTTCGTTTTCATTTTCTCTCTGTGAGAGCTCAGACTCACGTGTGGATTAACAGTGTACGCGACGCTCGACAACAATAACTTACGTGTCTAAGGAGGATTATTGTTTACCTGAGAGCTGTTCTCATCTGCAAACGCTGAGATCCGGATTCGCTTGTAGTATTCTCTTCATAAAGACGCGGATCTAGTTGTTGGTGATTGTCCTGTCTCTACAGATTTGGTAAGTGAGCGACCAGTGCTCTTTGTTTATTCAGTTTGTTCGTTTCAAACTATGGTAACTATTGCACCAGTGTAAACAAGTTAGCACTACAACCAAACTTTAACCTCGTGTATGATTTTCACCACATTTAGTGACGGAATAACACACGCAGCTTTCTGACACTACCTGCCGTGTGCATCTAAGTTTCCGGGAAATGCGGAGGGTTTTTTCTCTCATTCGCCGTACGGTATCAGAGATTGCATGAAAAATACACGCTTAGAGCAGCTCCTCGAATCAAAAATCTCGTTTGTGGTGAGGGGCATGAATGAATTCCCTAAATGAAAGAGCCAAACTGCAGTTAAAGTCCACCATTTAATAATTTGGCAAATAATTAGACTACAGATGTCCATGTAGGTTAAACACCATCACTTTCTCCTGTGTGTGTGTGTGTGTGTGTGTGTGTATTTTGACTCTGAAACTCGGGCGTGCCCAAATAGACACTGCCACACCATCCCACTTTAGTTCCTCCGACACTCCCACCTAAACAGAGCTGGACACGCCCACTTTTCTGACTTTAGAGTAGAGGTGTGAAAACACCCTGCTGAAAAGAGGGGATTTCATGGCCCTTTAAAGCAATGTTATTATAAAATAAAAATAAATAAATAAATTTTAAAAGAAGATAATTAAACCATATTAACAAAAATAACCATAAGCAAAAGAAAGCAAGTGAAAAACAGAGAGAAAAAACATACTGTGTCTGATAATGAAAGGATGATCACACGCACACGGTCGAGCCTAATTAATAATCTGTTCGAAGCTGAAGCAACTGGTGCTGCCTACAAAAAGACAAAATTCTGTTTGAAGGAGAACCGATCACAGTTGCCTTCCAGGCACGGGTTCTTCACGCAAGGAAATGGGAGCGCGCATGCGTTTTTAAACAGCAGCTGCCAGTGATCATCCACTCATTCGGTATTCACCTGCGTTCTTTTGTTTGCGTAAACAATTATTTTTGTTAGCCGTGCTGTTTCTCGATTCTAATATTACATTTGCATATTGGGTCATCTTTATAGTCGAACCATGCTTTTAAGAAAACCACAATTTAAAAATGATTTTCAACCAAAGTGGCTAGTGGGAGTGACTGTCTAACTAAGCTGAAATCTACCCGCATTTGGAGGGTGTTAATGTCAAGCCCTGCTTGTAACAGTTGTATTGCTTATTCTAGTCAACTAGTGGGAACTTACTGTACGATACGTCTGTAAATGTACACTTGAGCAATATAGCTTCAGCACAGATTACTGTTTTAACAGGAACATCTGCAACTTGTACATTAGGAAGCAATGCACAATTGCTCTAATAGTACTTATAAACTCCCACTGCTCCACAGTTAAATTGAACATCTGCTTTTTTAGTGGAAAATGCTTTGGGGGTCTATAAACTTCAAAACTAAGAATAAACCGAGTTGTATCTTTAATTATGTAGGAGGTCGCCCCCTGTATTCCCACACTTTTGCTCGTGTTATCTCTAATGGCTGATTATTTCTCTGTCCTCCTCATTCCCTTTCCTAAACTATACATTCGCAGGATTCTCTGGTTGCGTTCGTGGCCCCTCGTTTCCTGTCCTGCATTTCACACTCCTCCACTGGAATATGCAGTAAATCCCAAGATTTCTATTTCCTCAAGTCACTGAGGAACATATGGCTTGATTGTATATTCTGACAGCTTGTAACAGCTGGATCATCTCCATGTTGGCTGAAGATGTTTCCACACTAATCCGAGAGAGTTTGTTAGTTTTAGGATAAAGGGAATGTTCCTAGAAACACACTAAGTGATGTAAATTTAAGCTATTTTTCACTGAAAGTCTTGCTTGTAACTTTTAAATTGTTTCATGCACTTCACGATATTCAAAACTGTAAAAACCAATTTAAAAACTAGCATTGAAAGTGTCAGGGCTTGTTTTTTTAATTTGTTTATTTTATTTATTTATTTTTTAAATGTGTAGTGGTAACATACAATATAAAACAAGTAAATAAAATGTATTTTAAAATGTTCTACTTTAGTTTCTAGCATCAAGTACTTAAAAGTACTTACCTTAAAGGGATAGTTCACACAAAAATGAAAAGAAAAACTCCCTATTTATTCACCCTTTACTTGTTCCACTCAGTTTAAGTTTGTTTCTTCTGTTGAACACCAAAAATATATATATTTTGAAGAAAGCTGGAAACCTATGTTGGTATTGGTTTTCCTACTATGGAAGTCAATGGTTACAGGTTTTCAGCTGTCTACAAAATATCTTCTTTTGTGTTCAACCGAAAAAAGAAACTCATAAAGGTTTGGAACCACTTTAGGGTGAGTAAATAGTGTTTTTTTTGTGGGGGTGAACTATCCCTTTAAAGTAATTCTGTTGTTTTTACATATTTTTGAAAAACTTTCCGCCATTAAACTAATACTAAAGTTGAAAAACTGAGGAAAATATCTTACAATATTTAATCAGTGTGGGTGTCTTAATAATATGTTTAAAAATACTGTTTAAGTCTAAAATTAAGTTTAAAATTATTAGCCCGCCTTTGAATAGTTTTTCTTTTTTAAATATTTCCCATATTATGTTCAACAGAGCAAGGACATTTTCACTGTATGTCTGATAATATTTTTTCTTCTGGAGAAAGTCTTATTTGTTTTGTTTGAGCTAGAATAAAAGCAGTTTTATATTTTTTAAAACCCATTTTAAGGTCAAAATTATTAGCCTCTTAAGCTATAATTTTTCTCAATTATCTACAGACCAAACCATTGTTACACAATAACTTGCGCAACTACCCTAACCTGCCTAGTTAACCTAATTAACCCAGTTAAGCCTTGAAATGTCACTTTAAGCTGTATAGAAGTGTCTTGAAAAATATCTAGTCAAATATCATTTACTGTCATCATGACACACATTAAATAAATCAGTTATTAGAAATGAGTTGTTAAAACTATTATGTTTAGAAATGTGTTAAAAAAAATCTCTCTGTTAAACAGAAATTGGGGGAAAAAAATAAACAGGGCGGCGAATAATTCAGACTTCAACTGTACATATATATTTAAAGGTTTTTTTCACAAATATAATACTTTTTTTAAATACTTCCAGCTTTTCACAGTCTCACCACATGACATTTTACAGCCCAGACTAATCTTCTCACATTTAAAGTTGATCAATTATCTGATATTTGATATTTACATTAAGCTCCTGTTTTATGTTTAAGCAAAATCCTCTTATACAGTGCTCAGCATAAATAAGTACACACCTCGCAAATCTATCTTTTAAATTCTTATTTTTAATAGGAAGCTATATAATATTATAACTGTGCATATATATTAGATTAGTCAGTACGGAAGCCAAATCTGGAGCTTATCTAACTAAATAACTTACGATAACAGTCCAAAAACTAGTACACTCAAATGTATGTGTATAGAAATATTAAATACAATTTTTTTTAAAAGAGGAAAAATCAAGATAAGCAAAAAAACTGAAAATGTTTTTGTTAAAAATTCATAGGTGGTGTTTTTTTTTTTTTTTTTTTTTTTTTTGCAATATTTTGCTTGAATTTTATTGTTTTATCTTTCAATTTCTAAATATGTTTGGTAACTAAAATATAATTTGAATAAATATATCTGTTTAATAAATCTGTTTGGTTTAAATGCACCAAAATACATTGCCTATATTCACTGAGAAATAGATATAAATATTATTTTTTTAATGGGGTGTACTCAATTATGCTGAGCACTGTATATATTCCTATAGTAAAAAATTTTATAAATATCAATAAGCAGTGAAGCAGTCTGGCTTGTTTTGTTTTTTTTTTTAAGAAATAACATATCAATTATTATTTTGTCCCAAATATAATAATTTCACAAAACAACTGTGCTATTTATTAATGTTTTTTTTTTTTATTGTTTGTTTATTTAACGCTCAATTTTCTAAATTTGGGCTAAAATCTTCAGGTAGAACCGCTTTGCAAAGGGAAAAAAGGGTTTGCCATTCCACAGCTTAAAGACTGGTCATAACCTTAACAGGTCAGCAATTACACAACTGCTTTAAAGGAGTTAAGTCCCTCTTTTCGGTCTGATTATGGGGGAACTAACAGACACTAATGAGAGAGAGTTCCCTCTAATAAGACCTTGTTTCACAGCCTTCCCATGAGAACCATATAGCACAGTCCTTCACATCCGTTACTGAGCAAACGCTTAAAATAGTGCTGAAAAGGAAGGAAGATTGAGCAATTGTCCTGTTTGGATTCAGCTCACCGTTTTCCGACTGCCACCACGTCTTGAGGCGGTTCGGTGCAAACGTTGTGACAACGTTTTCAATGCTGTGGCTGGTTACTTGGTGCGCCGTCTCATTGTAGGCCTGCCTGGAGTCGCACACAAAGCACTTCTTCTCTTCCTGTGAGGAGTGGGAAAGTCAGATAATGTCAATCGCATTCTTGTAACTGGGGAAAAGCTCTCCTGATGAACTGAGGGACTGTGAAGGACGTTGGAGGTACTGTAACAAGTCAACCCCCTTGATTTACATGATGCAGCTTTTAATGTCTAAAGCAGTGGTTCTCAAACTGTGGTACGTGTACCACTAGTGGTACGCAGGCTTCCTTCTAGTGGTACACGGAGGATTCGCTGAATAAATAAAATAAAAGAAATAAAAACACTTTTAACCATTTAATGCGTACAATAAGCCTGATGTGATCTGTAAAAGCCTGATTTTAATAGGGTAAACCTTTTATTTTATTTTCATTTTTTTTTATGTTTGTTATGTATTCTATCATGTGAAGCTAATCTCCCCATATTTGTAATGGTTGTTGGGGCGTATCCTCTATTTTTATATCCCAATGTTGACAGGTATAGTTTAATCACTTGCTTTTCTGTAACACACAGCCTACTCTAACGCACATTAGGCAGATCTTATTTCTAATTTAAATATGTAAATTTAATTCATGTATTTAAAATACAAGTTAACATTTATATTTCAAAGATATACAAAAAAGTCATGTGTACATGCAACATATATTTAAAAATTTATCAAAGAGTTTATATATGATTATGATGACATATAGCCTATATTTTTGAGGTCCAAAGTACATTTCTAAGTTTTGATGAATAGGTTACTTTATGATAATACTTTACATTGAAGTACAGCAGTTTGCTTTTTTACTTTTAAAAACGGTGTCATTTTTAATCAACTTTTAAAATCACATTTTAATTTAAACGTTGACGTTTTATTTTTTTTTACCTGTGAACTCAGTACAATGTTAATTTTCAAACAATTTATAATGTTTAAAGTGGCTGACAATAATAAATATTCATAACAATAAGAATTAATGTGCCACATTTTTTAACTGTACAGAAGGTGCAGCTATACATACCTGGCTTAATTAGGCCTACTACGCTATTGTATTTTAATACTGGTCATTATGGTGGTGCGTGGATGAAAAAGATTTCTTAGGTGGTACTTCATGAAAAAAGTTTGAGAACCACTGGTCTAAAGGCCTACAGAGAGCATTGGTTTCATGTGTTCGCCAGATGTTTCTTTCCAACATTTTTTCCACTTCATTTAAATCAAATTAAAGCAATTTTGTTATCTTGACAGTGGAGTAGGGTTTTGTAATCTGACTAGTGTTTTAAAATGAGCTGCTGCCTCCTCCTTTACCGCTATTTGACCTATAACACAAAGAACGGGGATGACATCACCTCCACCGGTTTAATGAGTGTCTACATACCAAGACAAACTGCTGTGCTACAACAGTTTGTCTGAGATGGCACCACTTAAGTCTAAAAATGCGTAAAGAGATGATCAACAGATCTGGTGTAAAGCAAATTGCTGGTGACGAGACAACTTAGAAGCAATTATGAGCGATTATCGCTCAGCCGTGGCATCAACAAACCCCTATAAACCTACAAGGTGAAGACTCTGAAGACCCTCATAACATGTTCAATGGTCCTACGTGAAACAGTTGAAGGCGTTTTGTCTGGTAGGAAGTAGTCTAGACATTCAAAGGACGCAGATCCTGAACCAAGTCTCTAAAGACAAACATATTTTCATGTTCCAAAAACACCCACATGAAAATACAGGACGGTAATAAAAGCTCTTTCTGAAAATCTTCCAGATTCGAAGCCCTGAGGGGTGTTGGGAGAAGTCCCACAAGTGGGAAAACACATAAATCTTCATTAAGGGTATTAAAATATAATTATCAGGTCAAATTTAGAGCCCACAGGGCTTTCGTTTTTAATTTTGGATGTACATATATCAATTGACATCATGACGTTGCCCTAAAATAATGCTTATCTATGCAGCTTTTTAAAACTTAAGATCACATCCCTTTCATTTCCACCACTATGAACTTATGTTGGCTCATTCATAATCTCATCATTATAATTCAGAGTCAACAGAATTGACTGATACTTCTCCATTTCACATTTAGTCAACAATTAAAAAGAAGGATTTTGAGTTTACCTGCAAATGACTGACGATACAAAAGGGCTCAGGTTTATGGACTCCGCATGTTGAGGTGGCCAAGAGTTGTTGAGCTCTTCCGATAAGCAGATCTCCTGTGGCCGGATAACAGCTCCCTTCTGTGCAAACATCTCCCAGCTCAGGCACATCTGCCAGAGCCCAGGCCCCTAAAACTATGTCAGAGTAAAAAAAAAAAAAGAAAAAAAAGCCTTTTTATGTAGATCTGTATTAAAATTCTGTCATTATTTGCTAACTCTCGTGTTGCTTCAAACCTGTTTGAGTTTTTGGTAAGACTTTATTTTGATGGTCCCTATCACACATTTTGTTGACTAAAAGTTGCATTGAATGTAGTTTCAATGCAACTTTTAATTAACAAAATGTGCATTAGGGACCATCAAAATAAAGCCATTTACTTCTCATTTGAGTATTAGTAGACTGTCTGCTTAATATATGGTGATACTGCTACTTCCAGACTATTTATTATTTGCAAGTACACGTCAACTCACACTAACCCCAACCTACTTATAATCTATTGAGAATTAGTTGGCTTGTTGATGCAACTTAAATTCAACAAAATCTGTTACAGGCACCGTCAAAATAAATTGATAGCAAGTTTGTACTTTTATTGAACTAAGAAAAGCATAATTTAAAGACTATTGAAAACCAGAAGCCATTGACTTCCATTTCTTTTTCTACTATGGATGTCAGAAGTTGCAGGTTTCCATGATTCTTCAAAACATATCTCTCTTTCTTTCTAAACAAGTAACTCATAAAGTACATTAAATTCTTGATGAATTTAGCTTCTCATTTTTCAGGATTTGCCATTAATGAGTATGCTTTAAAATAAAATGTTAATGTGTGTTTTATTTAATAAACTACTGATAATGTGTCCTCAATATTTTAAATAAAAATATCGACATTCAGAACATTTATTTGCAAAAAAAAAAAAAGATATCAACATAAATGACTATTAATATTAAAAAAAATTCAATATAAATACTATTTTTATTAAATTAAAAATGGTAAAATTTTAAATACCATTTTACTGTTATGACACAACTACAAATACAATTCAAACCCTTGATAAGAAATCAGTTCAATATTCACCACTGTTTAATATTAAAGAAATACAACCTGCTTAGTTGGGAAAATTTAATTACATATGTACATATCTGTTTAATGTTTAAGACTTTACATAACCCGACTTCACCATTAAATCAGTTTATAAATATTAGAACGACTGCTCACCGAACTACTAGAGGAGGTGACAGAGGAGACTGCATTATTCCTCTCAAAAAAAGCAAATTCAGTCAATCTGTATTTTCAGTGAGAGCTGCTAGGGAATGGAACTCCATCCCACCAACAATTAGAAGATCATGCACTTTTCGTTCTTTTCAGTCTCATGTTAGAAATTGGTTATTGACAAATCAGCATTGTCAGCATTAGTACTGTGTTATTGACACATTTGTACTGTTGTCTTTGGCTTTTTGTCCTCTGCTCCCATCAGTCTGTTCTTTTTTTTTTCCTTTCTTTTTTTCTTTTCTTTACTTTTTTAACTGTATTTCTTATGAAAGTGTATTTAATGTTTAATGTTGTGCTTCTATTTTAGGTGTGACTTTTTAACATTCTGTAAAGGGTCTACGGATGAAAAATAGCCATTCTTGGCTAATTCTGGCACATTTTACAGTAATGTATGTGCACTGACCCTGTAAACAAATAAACTAAAAAAAAATAAAAAAATAAAAAACTAGTTCTACTTCAGTAGCTTAAATGAATTGCAAAAGAAACATTTCTTCAACACAGCTAAAATGAAACTTACTTGAAAGGGCTGCGAGTTGTAACAGCATATTTCCAGTTTCTTTCTTCAGCGGGAGTGCAGTAATCCTGATTTTGTGTGGGGAAACTGCAGAGCTGAATCTGATCTCTGCAGACTCTGCTGCTGCTGCTGCTTTACTGCAGCTGGAGGAGCTGCGCGAAACTTTTTCCCCTCAGCCGTTCTAGTTTTGCGCATGCGTCTCCCTCCCCCATTCACAAAACTCACGAAGGTGGTCTTATAGGTACAGTTAGTGAAACACGGATAAAAATTATCAACAATGAGCAGAAATGTACATTCGATTCGATCGGATATACGTCAAATAGACAACGCTGTTAAAAATTATTTACATGGAGTGTAGGAAAACGCGCTGTATAATGGGGTTTACAACGATACGTCAGACTAATTGGATTTCTTAAGGAACCGAATGTTACTGCAGCATTGTTCAGTTGGTGTAATTAAAAATCGCCAATGGGTTATAGCCTAAATTAAATGGCCTAATATAAGATTTATTTGTATTTTGGTAGCAACATGTCAAACAATACTGTTTTTAATGACATTAGTGCAGTTAACTTCATGCACCACATGTGTTAAAACGTATCTCCAATGTGCAAATAGTGATAGAGAGCTGGGACGAAATTAAAAAAAAATTTTTTATATAAAAACCTAATGTTAAAAGATCATTTATTAAGCAGAAATATTTATTTGCTGTGGTTACTAACTCACAAGAGTGGTCTATCAAAAGCAGCTGCTGTTTGGTATCAATGTAAACAAGTCCAATATAACTCCACTTTAAACAAAAGTTGCACATTGTTACTGTTGACCCCATAAGCTGGGACGAAAGCGACATACGGGTGAGTCAAAAGACAATATTTGTTAGATTTACTGGCTTAATCTTGTCTATTTCAAATATATCTGACTATGACATTATTAATGCACACATTGCCCTATATTTATGCAAAAAAAATATTAATCAGCAGTTTTAGAATTAATTTTAGTGCCATCAAATGTTTCAAAAGCAATCCAACATTGCAAAATAATACAATTTTCTATAATTTTTTTTATATTTTTTATTATTATCAGCTATATGCATTTATCCTATAAAACAGGGGTCACCAACCTTTTTGAAACTTGAGAGCTACTTTTTTCGTACCAATTATTGTAAAGGGCTACCAGTTTGATACACACTAACAGTTTTTCTCAATTTACTTTTAATCATATGTTGTTATTATTAATGATTAATGATATTCATCTATGTGAAGACACTGATCATGTTAATGATTTCTCACAATAGTTCTCAATGATTTAGCAAGGTAAGAAACAGAAATATCAATATGCAACACTTTATTTGTCTGAAATAGTTTTAGTTTATATATATATATATATATATATATATATATATATATATATATATATATATATATATATATATATATACACCTTAATGTCATTAACAAATTTTATTCCAATGCAGGTGTGATTTAAAAAGAACACCTTAAAAAAAATACTAGATTAAGCTTACTGGTATGTAGTGCAATGGTGAGCTATTTTTAGAACAGGCCTCTGGGCAACTCATGTAATCCCCGTGGGCTACCTGGTGACCATGTTGGTGACCCCTGCTATAAAACATAGTAGTCAAAACACTGAAAACTAATTCATTCGTTTTTTCAGTTGAGTACATTTATTGATCAGGGGTCGCCACAGCAGAATATACCACCTCTGAAAACTAATGTGGAAATTAAATATAAGGCATGGCTATTGGACCACAGGAACTCTTGTCATTTAAACCTGATTTATTTTTAAACTGAAAAACTCAGACCTTTCAAACTTAAGGATGTGTTATTACACTAAATAACCTGTAGATTGAGCATCACTGTGATGTGTGAACAGAGAAACACAACTTTTAATAAGAAAAAAGAACTGCTACAATAATTTACTTTTTGCACTTAAAAACAATTGGACATAACTGCAGGACACGGTCCTGAAATCAGCTGATATTTGGCTGCTCCATCAAGGGTTGCATGCTGGATATGCTGTTATGACCTAGAAATCAAATGTTGTCAGGCCTTTGAGGAAACTGCTTTGTTATGTTCATCCCACATACTCCTTTGTTGTATAGTACCATGGTTTTAAGAAAAATATAAAGCCTAATATATTCATTGCAACAGAAAATTAACATTTAACATGAATAAAACTAATTTATCAAGCATAACCATTACAAACTCCAATAACAATCCTGCCAACAATAAGCTTTTCTTCCAGTGATGTGACCTGTGATCAGTGAAATGGCCGTAAATAAGTGGGAATTCTTCAGTAATTAGTCAATTCAAAGGTGAGTCAAAGAGCAGGAGGTTCATGTGAATCTTGTCTCGGCCGAAGTTAAATGAGTATAATAATCCAAATGAGCAGGCGCAGAAACAACAGTCTGTCATTTTAGGTGTTAGGAAGTAACCCAGAGCTTTTGATTTTCAGTGTATTCAGGCCAGTTATTTAGGTGTAAAAGCACACGGTGCAAAAGTGAATCTAACTTGGTCATTCGCCGTGGCTTTTTTCCTTTGTTTTCTCTTTGCAAACTTCAGGAAGAGATAGGTGAGGTGACACAACAGTACTATCCGCAAACCCTGAAAGACTTAAGTTTAATCATTCAGCAGACTATCTGACTTATACTCAGGAAATAAATGTTAAGCTAAACACAACAAACCCAAAGAACTGCACCTTTTTCATAATTGTAATCCGAGGCAGTTTTCCCTTGTGCTGCTGTTGAGATCCTCCCATTTCAAACACTGAAAAAAAGTTAATCAAAGCTGATTCCTAAGATCTACTAAATGTATTTATGTTAAGTGGGCTGAATTTAAACAAATTAAGTTGAACATTACTACTTTTAATTTGTTTGTTCAAATTCAACATAAATTGCGTGCGACAATTTTGCAGACATAATTTTGCCTGTGCACTCAAGATTGCTGCACCTAAATCAGTTGGTTTAATTCAAATTAGAAGTACTATTTAAAGTTATAGTTGAGTCAAACATAAAAATTGATTAATAATTTTCCAGTTGTACCAAGCCTGTTTGAGTTTCATCCTTCTGTTGAACACAAAACAATGTAATTTAAACTTGTCGCCTTTGACTTCTAGAGTGTTCTTGTTTTTTGTTATTTAAAATCATGGAAGTCCACTAACTACTGTGTCTACATTCTACACTGTAAAACATGCAGGGTTCCACACAATTCATTTATTTAGTTTCAACACAAAGCAACCAAGTTAACCAGGACTGGAAGCAGATTGAAAATAAAACAATTAAGTTGTCTCAAAATATAAAAAAAATTGTGTTTTTTCAGCTCATTTTAATGAAGTAGTTTGAACAAGCAGCAAAATCTTTATTCTTTTAGTGAAGTCAGCTAACTAACTAACTAACTAACTAACTAGTCAATATTCCTAAAAAATCTCCCTTTGTGTTCATTAGGGGGGAAAAAACGGTTATAAAGGTTTAGAATCAAGAGAGGTTGTATAAAAAGTACACTGAAAAAAGTGTTGCATGCAGAACTGTTGCAAACAATTTATTTGTGTTGAATTTAAACAAACAAATTAAATGTAATAATGTTCAACTCAATTTGTTTGTTTAAATTCAGCCCAATATAAATTGTTTACAACTACTTAACATAGAAAAAATGAGTAAATCCAAGGAATCATCTTTGAATAATTGTTCAGTGTAAGTAAATGTTCTCTCTCTCTCTCTTTGGATATGTTAATCTACCTCTGAAAGCAATTTCGTGATTTAAAATCTTCTCCTACTAATCCTAAACCAACTCAAATGAAATTATCCCAGACAAAATGTCTCTCAACAAGAAAACTTAGGACAGATCCACTCAGGTAGATCAATGGAATAACATCAGTGGGGCTTTACCTTTGGTTTTGCATTTCAATAGTAGACTGAGGGGCTGTTAACACTGCAGGACAAAAGCACAGACCCTCAACCTCCCGTGAGAGACAAGCCGACACATTCCTCAAGCAGCAGGCGTCTTAACTTGACTGTCTTATCACTGCCTATGGAGCAGCTGTAGTAAAGGTATTCTGAAGTTTGAGTTCTTATAAACCATTAATCGAATTATTACATAATTTAAAAGCAACTGCGCTCCTCGCTGTTGCTTAAATTGCTCAGACAGCTACTTTAAAAAGTAAATAAATTACTTCTGGTTCAAATGTGTGCTGATTTTAATTGCTAGCGCTGCAATTCAAACAAGCAATATCAGTAGAAATATATTTGAACACGGTAGTTAAACAATCTTTAATCATCTTTTTCAGTTTAACAAGCTTACAATTTGTGTGCTTTTGTTTACTGCGCCTGTGAATCTGCAATGTTGCATGGGTTGTTTTTAATTTTACTCTTGCGACCCCTTGTGGCCAACCAGGCTTATACATCCTGAGATTTACATGTGATGGAAAGTTCCATAATTTGCTAAAATAAACTAGACAGACAATAAGGCATTTCTGGTGCTTGATGAGAACCAATCTAACTAGATTGTAAACAAAAACATAACAAACCCATACAGGATCGAGATAAAAGAACTGCACCTTTTACATAATTTTAATCCAAGGCAGTTTTCCCCTGTGTTGCTGTTGAGATCCTCCCATTTCCAAAAAAATAGTGATCCTCCAAACACTAAATATCTTTCCTCTGATTTTAACGAAGGGAAGCCCTTGTGGGATTAAGGGGAGCACAGATTGTATCTCTGCACTTTATCAACTATAAATTTTTTCAGATCGTCTGCCTCCTTCTGGAGCGCCTCCAACTCTTTCATCATTTCATCTTTTCTTTCATTTGAGAGCAGAATCTTTTCTTCCAAGTCTGAAACCCACAGGCATAAAGAAACATTCATTTGTAAAAAGAAATAATACAATTAGATCGACGCATTCAGCTGCTCTGTGATATCATACCTTCAATTTCCTTCATTTTATCCTCCACATATTTAGCCAGATTTTCCGCCTCCATTGTGATGTTCTTCAGACGTTCATTAGCCTCGCTGGAGACATTCTGGTTTGTGCTATTCAGTTTTAATCTTTCAAACTGCTCTTTCAACTCCTCAAGATCCTGCCAATGCAAAAAAAGTAATCAGCTTTTGGAGAACTTAAAGATGTTAATTAATGGCAGCTGCAATGCCTTTCCATTTAAGCACAGTTACTATATTTGTACATGATGCATGTTACATTCCAATTCATTAAATGACTTATTCATTCATTCATTTTCCTTGTAAACAAAGTTTAAGGGCCCTATCATACACCCGGCGCAGTGTGGCGCAAGGCGCGGCGCAATAGTCTTTTGGTAGTTTCAGCTTGGCGCAAGAGTCGTTTTGAGGCGTTGCGCTATACGTTGTTTAAATAACAAATGCATTAGCGCTCATATGTGCGTCCATAGGCGTTCTGGTCTAAAAAGGAAGGCGTTCTGAGGCGGACCGCTGGCGCGTTGCTATTTTGAGAAACCATAATAGATTTTTCATTAGACCAAAACAAACCTGGTCTAAACTCTGATGCAGAGTTGCGTATCGCTTACAAACTGCTTAATACGCACAAGAGAGCAATAGGCAAATATCTTTACATATGAAAAAAATTAAATATTAAGGATATATATAGGATATAATAAGAATAGATATAGGATATAAATATAAAGGATTAAAATATTACAAAACACATATTATTTTCTAGCCTACATAAATATGAAAAATCACTGCTTTTATGTCTTCTTCATCTCGGGAGGCTTTTTCAGTTCATTCATAACAATTTGCTTTTGTATAATGTTGTTATTATTAGCAGTATTATTTATTATATCCATATTTATATTTGTTTTATTAAAAACAAGTTTATATTTGCCCACCTGTCAGGTTTTAAACCATATGGGGCACAGCATGTGTTTTAGGATATAACTCAGGTTTTTGAGCACACTTCGTTATTATTGTTCATTTATACATTTGCTGGAAATTAGAACTGAATTTAAAAAGGGTTTTGAAACTAATATTTGCGCTTAACAAACAAAATTATTTATTTTTAGACTAATTGATGTCTGTGCGTAAAGGTTTCCCTATCCAAGAGCGAAAGTAAATCCATTATCTCTCATTCTCACGCAGTAGATGCTCTGTTTAACAGTTTTCTGTTAAAAAACTGTCAACTGTTAACTGTTTGCTTGTGAAATGCTCATTTTTCCTACTTAGACTTACTTTGCGTCCTGTAAATAGCGAATGCGCTCTTGGCGCGACGCAGCTGGCTCTTAAAGGGAATGGGAGATGAGACTCTAATTGGTTTATTCTCAAAACACACCTATAACTCATTAAGAAAATGAACTCAACCCTTTTAGACCATGCGCCACGGCGCAAGGCAGATTTCCTGTCCTTAAATTAGCAAAAACGTGTCCTGACACGCCCTGAAAGCGTTTGTGCCCTGCGTTTAAAGTGAAATTAGTGAGGTGCACAACTAACACACTCTGCGCTGGACTTTAGACCTCCTCTAAGCTGGTCTATTGCGCAGTCTATTTTAGTTCCTCAAAATAGCAACACACCAACAATGCGCCCTAACACACCTCCTTTTTAGACCAGAATGTGACGGAAAACGGAAAAGCTAAGGCTGTGTTAGTCTGAAAATAGCAACACGTCGGCGAGTTATTGCACTGGGTGCATATTAGGGCCCTATGTATTTAATTACACACCTTTTTGTCATTCCAAAAACCGTGCGATAGTGTCTGGCACGCAGTTTTAGACATGCAATCTCAGACACAATGCACTCAATAGAGCTAATGACATCACTGTGTGAGATGGAGTTAGGGGTGGGGTTAGGTGTGCGCAGTAAAAGCATTGCATGCAGCTCATCTTGCTTCTGTAGCCGGTCTGCAGCTAGACCCTTCTCAAACCGAGACCTTCCTTCATCTTCAGAATACAAATTAAGCTACTTAACTCTCTCATGCAAAATGGAGAGGAAGAAAGGTTTTTCTGAAGAAGAGGAAAAGCATAACATATCTCACAAAAGGAATGATATTTTCCAGAAACTGAACAGTGATTATCAAAATTCAACACAGACTCACAGTAATTTGTAACTTTTTCATTTAGTGGCTGATTCGTATGAATTCGTACAATCTAATTAATACATTTTAGTACGATTTGCTCATCCCCCAATGACGGTTGGGGTGGGGTTTGGTGCCACGCCTTCTTTTTAAAATCGTACAATTTCAAACGACTGAACTCGTACTAATGAGCCACTAAACTGGCAAAACGTAAAATACTTGTTTTCTCGTGAGATCAGGCTGCAAAATGACAAAGAGTTTGTGTGGTTTAAAGCAGTGTTTCTCAACTGGTGGGCCGGGTCGCAGTAACATTTTCAGTGAGTCATGGAGTGTGTGGTCAAAAAAACAACAAAAGTAAAAATTTGTGTGGTCAAAAAAACAACAAAAGTAAAAATGTTTACTTATTTTGCTTATACCGGACTTTTATTGGAAATGCGTGCGTGACAACCCTACCGTTTGACAAGTGAAATTTCATTTAATTATTGCAACAAGTATGTCGAAGCGCAAGTACGACCCCGAATATTTAAAGTATGGATATATATATTGACGACAAAAAAGACTTAAAGCCTATGTCATATGTAGTGAGGTGCTCTCATAAGAGAGCATGAAACCTTCTAAATTAAAACAACATTTAGAAACCAGAAAACACGTTTTATTAACAGTTTATTATTAACAGTATTTGTCGTTTTTACTTTAATATTTCTATAATTTGATCAATTTTGTTAAATGACTGCAGTAAAATATTGTTTACTTTTAAGTCTTGGTGAATTTCTTATGATGTATCTGTCACTACTTGTTTATTTTTTTAGAAATGAATACAAATTAATTATAATTCCTAAAAGTATATTATTAGTTCCTAAAAATTTGGGTCGCGGCTTAATGACCATATAAAAATATGGGTCCCATGGCCAAACCAGTTGAGAACCCCTGGTTTAAAGCATAAAAAAAGTCTTGTCAAAGAAATTTACTTGTCAAACAAATCCCTATCCACAAAAAGGATAATAAAAAAACAAAGATGAGCAGCAAACAGGTATTAGACACTGCTTTGAAGTTACACATAAGGCTGAATAAAAATATCAGCATCATAAAGTCTTATAAGTATTGTATAAGTTTTGTTTACAAAATGCCTTTGTTTTTATGGAAATATATATTTCCATATACTAAATGCAAAGCAGCTTTTTTATTAGTCTTGGATACATCAATGAAAAAAAATGACATTAATTTTGACTGTCACTCAAATGGATACAAATTTCCCAGTATCCAAACCACACACTATTATTCACCAACACACCCACATAAATTATAATTGCATATTTCATTTCATTTGGCCTGCAGTGCTCAAAGCAGAACTGATTTACTGCACAAGCCAAACCTGGAAAAATGAGCCAAATATATATCAATTATATTTCAATATATATATTTTTAATAATATATAAATAAATATATGTTTAAATAGAAAGAAGCATTGCCAGTTAAATGAAAGCAAAAGGAAACGAGTCACAGATATTACAAATTCCTTTAAAAAGGCACAATTTTCCAATATTTGTATCAATGCATTCCAGAAACTAAAATAAAAAAGACAACAAATCCATAAAGATTCAAGAAATCAAACAAATGGTTTCTCTTAAAAATAAATTACCTGATATTTTACTGAATCCATAGCCTTGCCTAATAATTTGGAACATGGTGTGTTGTGTTTATATAAAACATATGATCTTGTGCTTAGCACTTACCTTGCCAGTGTCATTGGCACTGTTGAGCGCCGCATCGGCAGTATCTTTGGCCTCCTTCCCCTGAGCCCTGTTCATCTCTGTCTTGTTTTTCAAGGCCTCGATTTCATCCAGTAATGTCTTGGCACGAGTCAAATTCAAATGATCCTCAATATTTTTTAGTTTAGGTTCAGTCTGTTCAGAATCAATGCAGAAATATTGTTTATTTAGGGGGGGGGGGGGGGGGGGTAATAGTAATTATCAACATACTAAGATCAAAACAACAAATCTAATAATGGCGAATAATGAATAAGGATTCATTTGAAAAGGATAGTTCAAAATGGTGTTGGGCAACATGTCTAACAAAGTTTTGATTAATTACAACATGATGCTCTAAAACAGAGATTCCCAAACTTTTCAGACCGTGATCCCTAAAATAACAATACCAGCGACCCCCACATTCCTCAGAGGTGGTTAACTTATAAATATATAAATGTTACACACACAACAATAGGCCTATATAAACAAGAGCAAGTTAACAACACAAAAAAGTGCAACAGTCTAACAACCATAGGCTATAATTTATATAGTCGATTATAAATTAGTTTAAACAATATTGACCTCAACTAACAAAACAAATGTTTTCAGCACAAGCCAGCCACTCAGGCCCAGTTTACACTAATACGTTTTAGTTTTTAAACGGATAAGTTTTGCTACAGTTACGCCATCCGTCCACACTATGCCGGAGTTTTTCGAGTGCCAAAAACGAAGCGTTTTGGAAACGCTGAAGAAGCCACTTTCATTTTAAAATGCTGCTGCTCCGTCTCTGAATGGATGGGGAAAAACGGAGACATCTGAAAACGAAGGCGTGGCTGCACACTGAAAACCCTTATGTTGTCTTTACAAAATTTACTAAATTAATTAAGTAAAGTTGACTGAACATTACTTAAAATTTTGCATTTTGGTCCTGTCACCAAAAAATATGAGTTCATTTAACTTATGTACCATGAAAATGCATAAACTTAAGATTCATGTGTAATGAGCTCAAAATCACAGCTAACCCTTTGAAAAAATAGGTCATTTTCACAAATGTAGTCTTGACTGTAAAAGTCTAATATGTGCAACCTTTTAAGTACAAGGTCTTTTTTTTAATCAGATAACAAGGCTTCATGTATAATTATTCATCATAATTATTTTTTTTTAACTTAAGGAAAAGACCATACTCCAACAGCTAAGACGTTTTGTTTTGTTTTGTTTTGAGAAAAGTTTCAAAGATATTGGGGGTTTCTTAACTTTATTTTGGGTACATTATTGTTTAATTCAACATATTTTCAACTAAGAAATAAAATAAATATGCATAGAAAAAAAAACCTGGTCACTGATTCAGAGTAAAAAAATAAATAAATAAAACTGAGTGTGTTGAAATATGTTGATCTACTTTTGCGTTAATTTAACAACTTGCAGATAATTTAGGAATTAAACTTCTTAATGATGGTATCCAAAACGTCAAATCTTATTTAGACCGCACACCAATACATTTTCCAAAGATTCAGTTATCTGGACAATAAGGACGTCCTTAGGCTGAGATTAAAATGCAAAGTTTCCCAACTAACAAACAGTTTGAAGTACACTGAAAACCTTTATAAGTTGACTGAACTACATGAATTGAATAAACTTGTTGATTCAATTTAATTGAGTATTGGAGTCTCCCAAAAACTTGCATATTTAAGTTTATTTAACTTGCTGGTTTAGTAAAGTACTAAGTTTGATGTTCAGTTCACCAAACTTAGTACTCTTTTCAAAGGAAATAATTGTGATTTTGAGCTCAGTACACTCACAATCTTAAGTGTATGCATTTTCATGGTACATAAGTTAAATCAACTCATATTTTTAGGTGACAGGACGAAAATGCAAAGTTTTAAGTAATGTTTAGTCAACTTAACTTGACTGTTTAAGTAAAGACAACATTAGGGTTTACAGTGCAGACATTCTCCATGTGATTGGGGCTTTACCTCACAATTAAGTAGCCTACACACAGTTCTTTCCTGCATCCTCTCCTTGTAAGTTCAGATTTCGCAAGTTTGATATGGAAAACAAACTCCCGAGGACACGTCAGGTAAATCTTCAAAGGCAACAGTGTACTGTACAACCTCATTCACAACACCCTAGCTACGCTGTTTCTTAACAATAAAATGAAGACATGATATAAGGAACTACCTATTTTCATTTTGATATTAGCAACTTAACAGACATCAGAAATGTTGAGGCGTCGTGCTGCTGCATATTAATATGAGCGTCATCTTCCTTGTATGCATATTTATTACAAAATGGAGCCTAACATATATAACGGCCTCCTTTTATTTTCAGTGAAAATATTAAACACACCCTCTTTTTTGCTGAATATCAGTTTTAATAATCGATAATGGCCATTCTAAAAGTACAACGTACAATAAGTTTATACATTATAGAGAAATAAATGCAAGCAATCAGTCAGACGTGCGGCATCAGTGTACGTGGTTACATTAATTAATATATTAACTTTTTGCACTCAGCCAAAACACATTACCTGAGAAATGTAATGTTCAAAAAACCAAAGTCGGGGAATATGTCATTAGATAGAGACAAGATGAATTAAACATCACGTTTAACAAATATAGTGAGATTGGATCCAGTGGTAGACCCTTGATGAACAGTCCGACGTGCACAGGTCTTACCTGTGTAGATATTCTGCAGCGCATGTCAGAGAGTGTGTGTGTGTGGTCATGTCAGGCCCGGATTGGCTAATCGGGAGGACCAGGAGAATTCCCGGTGGGCTGGTTCGTTTTTTGGCCGCGAGGGCCGGTGTCCGTAGCTGCTTGCACTCTCAGCTATCGCACGTTTTTCATTTATTTATGTATTTGACCATAGCCTTACTCTTTTTATTCATTATTTTGCAGCAGCTCCACTCTTTTTATTTATTTTCTCGCAGCCCCGTGAGCAAAATGCAGCCTACAGGGTAATAATGATGTAAATATCATCATTCGACCCCAAACAGCGGCACCTTAGTGAATATAAGAATTCGAATAATGAATAATACACCTGCTTAACTTTAGTGTAAACTAAAGTCTAGTGGTCAGCACGTTGCTTTAAGATGCCGCCAACCCGAGTTCGAAACACACCTGTACATCATTATTTTATTTTTTTCATTTTTGTTGTTAAGACAGACAATACTGTGAGGGTTGTTAACATTTAAAGTTCTAAAGCAGCTGTTTTCTTGAAAAAAGATGGGGTAGTGTCATTAGAAACTGAAATGGAAATGCCCTTATTTTAATATAGTCAGTCGTGAACTGAGGTGGGCCGGTCTGGCTTGAAACTCCAGGGCTGAAAAGGAGTCCCACTCCAGCCGTGGGTCACGTGATGTACGTTTTCAGCTGTGCAAAGTAGACGGAGAGCTGTTCAGAAACGCTGGGTGCAACGCTAGTGTGGACGCGGATCGTTTTCATTCTAAAACGCCGTTTAAAACATAAAATGTATTAGTGTAAACGAAGCCTTAGAGATCATCCACAATGTACAGTTGTGGCCTGTGTTTATTGTCAATGTATTTTATTGCCATGAAGGTGTCAGAAAGTTTAACCTGGTGCTATAAAATCAATCTGCTGCAGCTGACGCAATCGCTGTGTTGTTAATCTAAGGTAAACACCTATCCTATGAAAACCATAATTAAAAGGCTAATGGTTTTCTATTTGCATGTTGTTGCTTTTTTATGTACTTTTAACTACTGTTTTATCTTCTGTGGGTTGTGGATAAAATATGGTAGCTCTAATAGTTCATTAAAATTTATTGTTGATTGAAAATTACCAAGTGACCCCCTGTCATCGTCCCATGACTCCCCCACCCTCCAACCCAAAACCACAAATAAAAAAAATATTGGCTCAAAAACCACATCAACATGAGCAAATAAAGGCATAATCACAATGAAATCTTCCTTAACCCACCTGTTTACTTTTGGGTCAAAATTGACCCAGGCACAAATTTAACACATAAAAAAAAATAAACAAAACAATATATATATTTTTATCTTGAAGATGAGTGAGTTGCAAAGACTAGTGTTGCCCTCTGAATAAACATTGATGAAATACTTCACACTGATGAGGAAAAACCAAGACATTCACAGAGTTTGTGATGGAGATGAGGTCGTTTCAGCTTCAGCTTGCAAAATAACATTTGAGGTTTGAAATAAAATTTAGCTGCTTTATTTTGGAGGTTCAGTGAAGGCAGGTCATTTTTTGGTGTGGACAGAATTCTAAGAGAACAGGTGGGTTAAACACGAATGTTTTTTATTTAAAAATAAATCTTTACCTCATTAACTTTCTCTCTGATGACGTCATTGTTTTGTTCAGCCTCGTCCAGATCATTGAATATCTTGTCATGGAGCTCTGCTGTATCATTCAGAGCTTTCTCTATCTCCTTCACATTGATTAATTCGGTTCTGTTCCTAGTAATAAACAACCAGAGATGATTAACGAACGCTGTAAGTTTATCTTTGTAATACAGCTCAGAAACTTAGACTTGATTACTGCAGCCTCACAAGATTTCTTTGGCTCTTTCCTTCATGTTCCCAGCGATTTTGGCTTGTTTCTCCAGGTACTCGAGATCGTCGTTAAATTCTGTGATGTTTGCCAGGATTTTTTTGATGTCCTCAATCATGTCCTTGATCTCATCAGGGGACTTAGGCAGCTGAATGGATAACACAGCGTTTGCCAGTTTCTCAATGTCCTCTGGCTTCACTAGCTCATCTGTATGGGTACAAAATTCAAGTGAATTCATTTACATTTTACTGAGTACATTTTAGTTACTTGCTTAAGAGTAATTGTTGTTTCTAGTCAACATATCTAATTATTCTGAAATCAAGAAACATTTTCTAGACAAGCAAAACATATTGTCTTGTTTTAAGAAATAATATGCCCAAAATTTAGTTTTTCCTTAAAACAAGCAAAAATAATCTGCCAAAGGGGAAAGTTTTTCATGTCGAAAGGAAAAACAAGATTATTTTGCTTAGTATTTACACATGGATTGCTTTTCAAAAAAGAAAAAGACATTCTGAACAATTAACTATAAATTTGACTTAGTGTTAAATTATTAGCTATTATTAATTTATTACTATTTTTAAATAGTTATATTTCTTGCACATTGAATGTAAAAAGCCATTCTTAAATGTTATAACCCATTTGTGGCTCTCTCTTTAAAAGGTATTGAAAAAGAAAATCAAACTTAACCTTTCCAATAGGTATTGAAGGAAAAGCTCCGCTGGATTGATGGCATGCACATACCTTTTTCAGTCTGAAGAAATGCATTAATATTGGTACATTCACATTTTAATACAATATTAAAACACTGCACTATGAAGATGTGGGAATACGCTATCTCAGGGCGCAGGGAGAACATGCAAACTCCACACAGAAACACCAACTGAGCCTAGAATTGAACCAGCTTCTTGCTGTGAGGCAACAGCACTACCTACTGCGCCACAGCTTCGCCCTTTATTGCCATCCATAGTTGAAAAACTTATATGGAAAAAAAGTTTACCAATTTACGATATTTTTCAAATTAACTTGTTTGAGTTTCTTTTTTTTTTTCTGTTCAACACGAAAAAGTTGACAAGTGAATTAAGAGCACTGAACTTTCAGTTGTGAACTGTCCCTTAAAGGGTCACGAAACACCAAAACACATTTTTTGAGCTGTTGACAGTCGTATATGTGTCTCACACTGCTAAAAACACTATTAGGACACTTATATTTCACTAAAAAGTGTAAATTGGTTGTTTTTGCGTTATTTCAAGCAAATTCGTACTTCCTGTTTGAAACGAATTTTTGAAGCTGCGTCACGGTCATGACATAATAGCGTGTATTCCAGCGTGCAGACTGGGCGTCTGTGCCAGAGTGAGTCTTATTACGTCTTACAGTGTGTTGCATTAATGCATGAGTAAGGCTTGGGTCAAACCAATCAGCGCGCTCTATTGTGCAACTTCATTAATATTCATTAGCGTCACCGTGTTTACGCCACAGAGACGCCCTGTTGTGTTGGCAAAACAAGCGTGAAGTGTTGCTTTTATAGTTTGCTGCCATTAAGTTTCGTTTTCATTTTCTCTCTGTGAGAGCTCAGCTGGATCACGTGTGGATTAACAGTGTACGCGACGCTCGACAACAATAACTTACGTGTCTAAGGAGGAACATTGTTTAACGTTACCTGAGAGCTGTTCTCATCTGCAAACGCTGAAATCCGGATTCGCTTGTAACGTTAGTCTCCTCTTCATAAAGAAGCGGCTCTAGTTGCTGGTGATTGTTCTGTCTCTACAGATTTGGTAAGTGATCGACCAGTGCTCTTTGTTTATTCAGTTTGTTCGTATCGAATTAAGTTAACTATTGCACTGAGTGCAAACATAGCACCGCATTTTGTGACCGGAATAACACACGCGGCTGTCTGACGCTACCTGCCGTGTGCATCTAAGTTTCCGGGAAATGCAGAGTTTTTTTCTCTCATTCGCCGTGCGGTATCAAACATTGCATGAAAAATACACACTTAGAGCAGATCCTCGAATCAAATATCGCGTTTGTCGCGAGGGGCATGAATGAATTCCCTGAATGAAAGAGCCAAACTGCAGTTAAAGTCCACCATTTAATAATTTGGCAAATAATTCGACTACAGATGTCCATGTAGGTTAAACACCATCACTTTCTCATGTGTGTGTATTTTGACTGAAACTCGCGCGTGCCCAAATAGACACTCCCACACCCTCCCACTTTAGTTCCTCCGACACTCCCCCCTAAACAGAGTTGGACACGCCCACTTTTCTGACTTTTTCCAAAGTAGAGGTGTGAAAACACCCTGCTGAAATGAGGGGGTTTCATGGCCCTTTAAAGGGGAGTGTAAGATAAAATATAAGAAACTGGATAACTACAATCCAAGTCCAAAAGCTGACTAGCTGATCTGTTCTCGCAGTACCTTGCAGGTAGATCTTGACCTTCTCGATGAGTGCCTTGGTGTCAGTCTTTTCCTGCTCGTATTTAGTTTTTGTGCGATTAATTTTATCCATCATGTTTTCTGCTTGATCCTTGACATAACTAGTCATTTCTGAGGCATTTCTGAGCTGTAAGTAGAAATGAAACACAAACAAAAACAGAACAAATGTTTCATCAAAATGATATAAATGTCACGTCTTTTTAGGAAAGTACTGGTGTGTTTTGGACATGCCTGAGCATCAGCTTCTTTGAGTTGACTGCGCAAAGCAGTGATGTTCTTCTCCGTCATCTCTGCCAGTTTTGAGGCGTTGAGGCTTATGGGTAAACTCCCCGTACAGTCCGGTCCTCCACACTTCCCACACAAAGCTCCACCACATTTCGCTTTCTCACATTCTGCATCGCCTGGAGCCCCACAGACCTACGGCAGACAAAGTTGCACTGCGATACCCAGATTTACACACTTTTCAAATGGCAAAAGCCCAGTTTTACCTCCCATTCACCTCCTCATTAATGTTGGCAGCGCTCAGAGCTTTCACTTTCCTCTCCAGCTTATCCATCTCTCCTATTTGACACTTGGCGAGCTCCAGTGTGACTTTCTCTCTCGTCTTCCTGGAGGCTTCCTGGACTTTTTTAGCTGCTTCTACTTTCTTCTCGCTGTCAGTGAACTCGTCGTAGAACTTTTTGATCTTATTGAAAATATCTGTAGAGACGGCACGTGAAGTTTTTAGGGGCTCATGATGAACCCTTAACATAATTGATACTTTGATTCTGCCACAATAAATAGTCATGTCGATGATACTTTCTACACAAACCATTAACAGCTTTGATGTCTGTCACCGGACCCTTTTTTGCCTTCTCTCTGAGATTCTTCAGCAGCTTGTTGAACTCAAGGCGGATGTTGTCGATATCAGTGTTGAGCAGCAGAGTTGGATCAATAATGATTATGTTTGGGTCAATGATCTCGGTTTCATTCCTGAGGAGTCAAAATGATTAGCCCTGATTAGAATGACAAATCGGCACTATAGACGTGCTCCTAGTAATTAGTTATCTCTTAAGAACAATCACTATCTGTTCGTTAGCTCCAGCAGGAGAGTTCTCCAGATCCACCTGAGCTCAAACTCCCCAACAGGAGGAAGCCCCGGGCTCGAGGATCTTATGAGCTCAGGGCTCTCTCCTGGGACAGCATGGCAAACAAGCTTTATAATCAGTCATCAGCTAAGTGTGAACTCTTGAAGAGTTTTTTTTAATATTTGGACAGAAAAATAGACAACAAAATCTAAGTAAAAAATAATTTTTGCAGTGTTTAAATTGCACTTTAAGCTGATTTCTAAATTGCAAAATAACTACTAAGAGACCATGTATTACCATCATGGCAAAGAAAAACGATATTAGATAGTAGAAATTAGTTATTATGTTCATTCACTTTCTTTTTGGCTTCGTCCCGTTATTAATCAGGGGTCGTCACAGCAGAATGAACCGCCAACTTATTCAGCACATGTTTTACGCAGCGGCTGCCCTTCCAGGTGCAACCTATCACTGGGAAACACCCATACACACTCATTCACACACATACACTACTGATAATTTAGCGCACACCCAATTCAGCTTTAGCGCATGTGTTTGGACTTGTGGGGGAAACTGGAGGAAACCTACGCCAACACGGGGAGAACATGCAAACTCCACACAGAAATGCAAACTAAGCCAGCCGAGGCTCGAACCAGCGACCTTCTTGCTGTGAGGCGATTGTGCTACCCACGTCACCACTGTGACGTCCTAGTTATTATGTTTCTTAGAAAAAAATACATAATTTTTTTTCAGATACTATGAATGATTCCAACCCAGGCTAATTCTGAAAATGTAGTCCCGTGGACGTTGCGACATACATCCCGGAAGATACGTATTTGTGCAGTTTTTGTTTTCGCGAATCCGCAAGAGGCCGCTGTGTGCGCATTTTTGCATCTTATTTGTCTCTTGCGAGCGCCATTCGCGCCCGAGCTGTTCTCACGTAAACCCACCGGAGGCCGATGTCGAGTGACCGTCTGTCTGACTGACTGGGCGACTGGCCAATCGGCCAACCCACCCTCTTCCTCCTTCCCTAAACCCAACCAGTTTTACCGATTGACCCGCCCGTTTGCTTTCCTGAACCCAAGCAACGATTTACAAAAGCCCTCTTTTTGCCCTTGTCTGATTTTTACCACATTTTCTGATTTTACCACATTCTCACCCTGTTATGAACTCGTTCACTTTACTTTTTGGATTCTGTTTTTGTCTTACATGATTTCTGAAACCGATCTTTCCCCGACTGGAACCCGGTCGTCGTCATCGTCATTGTGGTCAGCTCCTCTCTGCGTCTCAAGTCCACAGACGTACACGACAAGCTAACCCGACAAACTGGTTGCAGCGGGAAAGCCGTCCACACGGAGGTAAGCAGTCAGCCGGCGAGCACGAAAAGGAACGGCGTCACACCGCATCTTAGCATTGGCTTAAAAAAATTAATTGCAGCCATACGTACCTCCGGCTACATAAATCGCGGCCTCCAGAAACGTCCACGGAACTACATTTTCAGTATGAGCTTGGGTTGCAAGATTCTTCACTCATAAACACAAACATATAGCCATTTCTCCATTTTATGTTTTCTTTGTTGGTTCCACCTGTGGATTTGGATCTGGTGGCAAAAGCTTTAGACGCTCACCTGCCACTTTACACCTGTTCAGCTGCTTGTTAATGCAAATATCTAATCAGCCAACTCAAAATTAAACTGACATAAAATTATCATACCTAATCCGCGCCAAGAGCTCCTCCAGTTTTTTAAGCTCGTCCTGAGCGCCCATGTTAAGAACATTCTGCAGTTTCTCCAGCAAATTCTGTAGGTGTTGTAATTCAGGTCTAGACCGAAAATCTTCAGGGCAAGGCATCATGGTTTCTATCCTCTCCGCATCTAAACTAAGATCTGAGATGATTTTCTCCCAGAGGTAGTTGCAAGCATGGCAGGGTTCGCAGGCAGGAAAGTTGTTGTTGTGACCCGGGGCACACTCATCACAGAAAGGGCCTGTCACTCCTGGCTTACACAAACACTCACCCGTGTAAGCGTCACAAGCTGGATGAACGGTGCCCTCCAGGTTACAGTCACAAACTGAAGGAGGAATAAAAAGTTTTGTCAATCAGACCAACATGACTTGGAAGAGAGCTAAACTTTCTGTATAATAGCTTACACATGCACTGTAAATCAGGGTTTCCAAAGTGATTCGGACCACACTCGTCACATATTCTGCCTCCATATTCTGGCTGGCATAAACACTGGCCTGTGATCTGGAAGGTCGTACAGGGAATGCATGAAGCACAAAAGGCATCTGATAATAGACTTTGTATGCTGCAAAAAATCTTACTAAAAGTTTTTGTCTTGTTTCTAGATTAAAGATCTAAACATTTTTAAAGGGCCATGAAACCCCCTGATTCAGCAGGGTGTTTTCACACCTCTAGTTTAAAAAAAGTCTGGAAAGTGGGTGTGTCTAGTTCTGTTTAGGTGGGAGTGTTGGGGGAGGGAAAAGAGGGAAGGATTTGAATAAAAATGGGAGTTTCCATTTTGGGCACGTGCTGATTATCATCGAGGAAAAACAAACACAGAGGCGCAGGGGAGAAAGACAGTGACCGTGTTTAATGACAGTGAAATGTTTAATATCGCATGTCGTATAAGAGGAAAAAAACCTCTGCATTTCTCGGTTACTCAGATGCACTCGGTAGGTCAAAAAGCCATGTGAGTGTGTAGACTATCCTGTCACAAAAAGCTCCGAAAATTCAACACGACAGTCGGTAATAGTTTGCTTGCGGTGTTTACATGTTTTCACTCGGAGAGCAGCATTTAAAGCAGATCTTTCAGTCCATAATATTGTAGTGATATTAACTTAAACTAAGTAACTTAGAAATCATTTTCACTAAGGTCTCTCTTTAAACACTGAAAGAGTACTGCTGACCATACAAACTATAACTTTGCCACCTGACTGAACAAAGAAAGGGCACTGATCGCACACACACTTACCAAATCTGTAAAGACAGGGCAATCAACACCAACTGGAGCTGCGTCTTTTTTAAAAGGAGACGAGCAGCAAATCCGGATTTCACAATTTCCAGATGAGAAAAGCTCTTGAGTAAAAAAATGTTCCGTACAAACATTTTTCTGCCTCGCGTAGCGTCACTGATCCACATGTGAGTTCAGCTGCGCTCTCATAGCTGGAAAATGAAAACAAAACCTTCACTGCTAATTGGTTTGAACTAAGTCTTACTAGTCAATGAATGCAGCACACTCAGAGACGTAATAAGCCACTCCCAGGTACAGATGTCCAGTCTACACGCTGGAATTCACACTAAGATCTCATGGCCGTGACGCAGCTTCAAAAATTTGTTTCAAACCGGAAGTACGAATTTGCTCGAAATAACGCAAAAACAACCAATTTTCACTGTTTAGTGAAATATAAGTATCCTAATAGTGTTTTTAGCAGTGTGGGACACATATACGACTGTCAACAGCTCAAAAAATTTTGTTTCAGTGTTTTGTGACCCTTTAAATCAAGAAGCTTTTTCTAGACAACTGAAAAATATTGTCTTGAAATAAGTAATTTTTTAAATATTTGGTCTAGAAACCAGACAAAAACTGTAAGAAAATATATTTTTTTAGAACTTTTATGAATCAGATTTATAAGATAACAACCTTGTCACAGATGTAGTTAAGAGCATGTTCTCGGTTACAGTTGCAGGGCTGACACCCATAGTCTCCATCCATGTTCCAATAGCCATCATCACACTCATTACACAGGGCTCCCTGGACACCTGGGCGACACGGGCACTGGCCAGTGTCCTGATCACAGAAACAGGGGCTTCCAGCTGGACACTTTGAGTCATCTGTTCCCCTCCGGTCACAAGAACATTCTGAGTATCCAATATAAACAAGATTGTTAATACGGGGACATGCCTGTAGAATGCTGGTTGTGCATTTTAGTGCTAAATACATATTCACTCAGTTAGTCGGCTCAAACCTCACACACTCCATAAACAACTGCATTTCTGATACAATTCTGGTGCAATGCCCTCATCTTAAAATCCTATTAACCAATAGATATACCAAAACCCCAACTTTTTTCCCTATTTTGTGACACTTTTCACAATGTGGAAGTTGGGTCTGTTTTCTCTTCGCTCCTTTAGTTCATTGCACAATTTACATCTGACATTTCCACATGTTAAAAAAAATTTGACCACATCGTGTCAACCAAATTTACAAACTATCTCTGAAACTTCCATCCATTATTTAAAATTATGGAGACCACAGTCTGAACTGGGAGGAAACTCCAGGCTTAAAGCGACGCCGACGGCCACGGCGAATTCAATTCAATTCAATTCAGCTTTATTCGTATAGCGCTTTTACAATGTAGATTGTGTCAAAGCAGCTTCACATAAATGGTCATAGTAATTGGAACAGTGTGGTTCAGGTTTTAGTGTTTAAGTTCAGTTCAGTTCAGTTTAGCTCTGTTCAGTGTGATTTAATCATTACTGAGAGTTCAAACACTGAAGAGCAAATTCATCGATGCGTAGCTCTACCAATCCTGAACCATGCGAGGCAGTGGCGACAGCGGAGAGGGAAAAAAAACTTCACCTGATGGAGTGAAGAAAAAAAACCTTGAGAGAACCAGACTCAGTTGGGCACGACCATTTTAATTTCTCCGCTGGCCTAAGGGCTAAGCGTCAGCGACTTAGCATACGCCGGCGTTTGACGCAGAAGTGCACCTCTCAAAAAATGTAACTACACGTCGCAACGATGAGTAGCGCAAGGTCTGTGATTGGTCGGCTTGGTATCGCTGACGAGTCTGGGCGAGACCGAGAGCTGCCTGAATGGTGCGAGCCTGATGGAGCAATTGTTTACAAGTGTGGAGTCCTGTGAAGAAGCTCCAGATGGGAATTTTTGTTTTGTGTTTACCTCATAGTTAAAGTTGTTGCACGTCCGCCGGTTCCTTCCTCAAAATGAGCGAGTTTGAGCCACTTGTACATCCCGGAAGTGTTCAGAAAAAGCAAAAAAGCAGCGAAGAAACTCAACACAGAGGAACATTTACACCTCACTGCCAACTAGCGTTTCAGAAGTGTTAATGCAGACCAACAGAGACAGCGCGCAGAAGTATAAATGCACAGCTACGCGCGTTGCATGCGTCGTGGGTTACTTGACGCAGAAGTATAAACCAGGCTTTAGCCCGTGTCTCATTCACTGGACAGTTCTGATCCAGCTGCACAGCCTCCATCCTCGCATGGAACCGCTAGCATTCAAGGTGTTTTAAACAATTTCAGAAATAAGGGATGATGGGGTGGGGTGGTGCTGAATTTGTGCGTGCCTTTGAATAAAATCCTGCAGGTTCCCCAGCTTCCAATGCCTGTACAGATGTGTAATAGATAAATACAGCTCGAGCATTCTGTCATTTTTTGGGTTGGATCTTCTGCCACCACAAACTGATTGTTCATACGAGCCAAGACTCATTTTTTTAGTAGTCTGAACTCACTTGTTTGGTGCTCACCAGGGTTCAGGTTGCAGCATTCATACTTATTCAAATCAACCACACACACGTCAAGTGTGAACACACCTAAGATGAATGCATTCTTTACAGAAGCCTTTGAATTTAACCATTAACCAGTTTCCATGTTTGGTGCACACTAGGGTTCCGATGGCAACATTCACAGTTATTTAAACAACCTTAGATGAATGCAGTTTGAAATGTCCTACAATATTTGAGCAGTTAAATTAGCTATGCACTTACAATTACACATTAATAGGGTATATGCAGAGCAGAGGTCGCCTGAACCGAATATTTTCCGTCATTGACGGATTTTTTTCAGCAGTGACGGAAAAATCTGAAGGTGATCCGTCATTTTGACGGATTATGCTGAGGGTGATCTAGTGTAGTTTGTAGCTAACTGTAATTCCCACTCCTGTCCAGCTGATGGCGATTGTCCTTGTTTTGTCTCCGCTTTGTCACTGTGTGCGTACAGTTGCAAAAATGTCACAGCAGCTTAGTGTGAGAAGTTTCTTTAAATGGCCAAATAGTTGTAATATTATTAATAAAGGTGAAAAAAGAGGAAGTGATGCAGTGGACGATGGAAGAACAAACAGACAAAAATCCTCAGTCGCCGACAGCTGTTACAGGTCAACCAAGCGGCCGCAAGAAAGTCTTTGGAGTGTGTTGTGAGCACTACCGAACACAGAGTGGTGCAGCTGCGCCTCTGGTGCAGAAGGAGCGCGTGCTGCAGTATTTATTCCCGGTGAAATTACTGCTTGCAGGATCGGGAAATCCCACATTCAGAGAATGCAGCAAACTTCTAAACATTTCCTTAGGAGAAATGTTTCCTAACTACACAGTGCTGGCTGAAGTGACGCTAGTAATTCCGGTCTCCAGTGTGGCAGCAGAACACGGCTTCAGCCTCCAGAACAAAATTAAAACTGTCACGAGAAGTCGACTTTCCTTGGCAAAGACACATCATTTAATGACAATTGCCTCTCCCTTGATGCGTTTGATTATGCACAGGCAAGCACCCAGTTCAGGTCGGCTTGTTGTGCAAGTTTATTATTAAAATATGAATGAAAAAAGCGATTAGAAAATATGCAAACTAAATGACGGTCAATAATAGGTTATGACGGAATTTTCACAACCCTCTCCGTCAAAATGACGGACAATGAGAAAGTCTAACGCGACCTCTGATGCAGAGCTTGGTTTCTTCCCATACTGATAAACTTCCGGTGAACGGTTAATGTGACTTTTTTTCATTTTATACGGTTCCTTTTACAGCATTGATGTTGTAATGTAATTAAAATATAATCAGTTAAATAGAATTTAGCATTCATTTAATTGCTCAAGCGTAAAACAAGATAAAAGCTGTTTACTCGCACGTGCCCATCAGGATTGGCAGGCTAGCGCAGAAGCTCCATTGAATATACTGGGGTAAACTAAATGCTCATATTATAAAGACATGGCGGGGGAATTGTAATTTAATGCAGTGCTTCTTATACAATCCAAGACCCACTTTATATCTGATATCACTCAGCCAGTGAAGATCGCTGATTTTTACAGAAAACAGACCATAAACCATAGACCAAATAGACCATACCGACAAATTAAAAGTCCTTCCGCAATCTTCTGCATATACTCTATTGATCTTAAAGAGCTGAAAGGACCACACTGATGTTAAGTTGCTCTCCTTTCAGTTTGAAACCTTTAAAAAGATGTACCTTTGCAGTCTTGAGCGAGAGCATTGCCGTAGTATCCCCGTTTGCAGCTCTGACAGCGCGGGCCCTCAGTGTTGTGTAAGCAGCGCAAACACTCGCCCGTTACAGGATCACATGCATCCCCATCACGAGGATCGATGTTATTGTTGCAACAACACTCCTTGCATCGACCACCTGGCAACCTCAGGTCACCATAGAAACCAGGAGAGCAGGAGTCACATTGTGGGCCTGCAAGAACAAGGGTACAAACTATTAAAAACTAACTTTGTTAAAGAGGCCCTATTATGGGTTTTTGAAAATGTCAGGGGTTTTTTGTGTTTCAGTTCCCTTGTTTCTCCGTCCCCATTGCTCTCTCCTGTTCTCCCTGACTATTTGGCTATTTAATCTCCCCTTCTCCCTCGTTCTGTGCTTGATAATTGTTTTGTGTCAGTAAGCTGCTTCAGCTACTCGTCTTGTCCTGTCCTGTCTCAACCTGTTTATTGTTTGTACCACTGTGCTTTGGCTCACCTCTATTCTGCCGCTTGAGTGAAGCTTATCCAGCAGCTCGATTACCTGAGGTCTGTTCTATTCTATTCAACTGTTTTGCAGAAGAGGTTTATGTTCGACCAGTCCTACATTGCCCAGAAGAAGGCCATGTACTTTGTCTGCCTGTGTTCTAACTGTTGCATTTAAGTGACTCTTTTTTTTATACTCCCTGAAGTACTGACTTTATGTCCGCCTTTATTTGTAAAACTTTGTTAAATTCCTCCCTTGCGTTTGGGTTTCCTTCTGATTGCGACAGAAAATGAGCTTCCACGCAGTGTGTAGCACAGCCCTGAGTGAATGAAAACATCTAGCTGAGGTTTAAACTTAGGTTCAGTGCACCGTCTTTAAAACTATTGATTCTTTAACGAAATAGTCAACTCTGAGTCGAATTAATAAATTGTGTTGGGTTAAGATCTTTTGCTTGAACGCTTGATTGGTACATCCCAAATGTGTAGCACCTGATCCGGTAAAACGTGAACGAGCCTTTCCCTTCAGACACTAGCAAAGCTTAAGGGATCACTGGTCATGACACAAAGATGACGATCGCTGACTGATGGACAGATGGAACAAAAGTTGAAGTTCATAGTCACAACAACATCACAGTGTAGCCAACCGTGTGCTGTGTTTGTTCTTGTAACTTTTCTAATTTTTGATACTATAACTTACGCTGCAACGTGGGATTCGTCGGCCGTTTGCTATTAAAGGAAGGAGCAGCAGAGACTATGTATAGGACTTTGCCAGACTTTGACATGGACTTGGTCGGTAACTGTTGCAGTTCATTTGGACCAGTTTCTTCTTCCTACAGATCATAACATGTAAGTGTGGTTAAAACTGATGCCTGGTTTTGTTTAGTTTGCAAAATATGTGTTAAATTGTGTGTTAAAAGTTGTAATCGCTCCATGCGGCTTGATCTATTATAGATCAGTGCTTGTACTGTATCTCTCAAGTTAAATCTTTATAGGCTAGTTCACATATTGCATCTAAAATCAACGCATTCTTCTTCTTTTACCGATTAAATGCGTTTCTGAGCTGGTGATTCTCTGCTGTTTGCCTTTGCTATGGCCACCATCAGCTGTTCCTACACACGCGTAGCGTGGTCAATTTTCAAAATAGTTCAACTTTTGCCACTGTGTGGATTAATACTGAATGTGTGTTGTTGTTATTACCTGTGATTAGGGTTCAGAGTAGAGTAAAATGCTGGTGTTTAACTGAATTGCTTTACTGCGTTCCTGCATTGGGCTCTCACATACTCTGTGTGCTACTTCATAGCCTTGGAGGGTGTTTCTCTCTGTCTCGCGCTGAACGCAGTCGACCAATCACAACAGACTGGGTCATTAGACCAATCAGCGCAGATTAGCTTTGTGCTAAGGAGGGGTTCGGGAACAAATGAATTGCTGAACGAATCATATGGGGGTCTTTGGGATAATTTGGTAAAAATACATGCATATTATAAAACAATGAATGCGTTTTTTGACCTTGCACGCATATCAGCCTATTGCTGGAGACCCCCAAACCAAAAATGATGACCTTTTATAGTGCAAAGTAGGTGCTCTTTAAACATTATTGTATCTTTAATTTCTTCTTTTTTATAATTATTTTTGGGGTTTTTCACCTTTATTTTTGATAGGACAGTAGAGAGAATTGACAGGAAAGCAAGGGGAGCAGAGAGAGGGGAAGGATTGGCACAGGACCGCGAGGCGGAGTCGAACCCAGGTCGACGCACTAACCACTACACCACTGGTGCTGACTGTATCTTTAATTTCTTACTGTAAGTTACATTAAACAGTTAATTGGATGGTCTTGATGGAAATGTTGTGTATCATAAAGTATGATGACCTGTATGTCCAGGCAGACATTCACAGTAAGGTGCTCCAGAGCGGGGATCCTTATTGCAGGAAAAGGCAAAGAAGCGTCCACTTCCATTCAGATCTGGACATAAGCATGGCTCACATGGCTGTCCAGAGACAGGGTCACCAACATATCCCTCTTCACACCTATACACACCAAAATTCTAGTAAATACTTTATATATTTTTGCCATAATCTTGAAATGTGATCTCAGACTCGTCCCTTGCCTTTCGCAGTTTCGTCCCGCGGAGTGTTCCCTGCAGTCCAGACAGTCTCCAGTGATGGGGTCACAAATGTCAGCCAACCTGTTGCACTGGCAACGTCTGCACAGGGGAAACCCATAGTAGCCAGGGTAACATCTATTGCACTGAAGGCCAGTTATTCCATCTCGACACGAGCACTGACCAGTTGTCTGGTCACACAGCTCCGTGGTAGAGCCAGAACGATCACAGTCACATGCTAGAAGGGTCAATAACAAATTAAAAACATTAAAACATCCCATATATCAAGGTAAATGTCTTTGTTTTTGTTATCAGGACAATTGTACTATACATATATATATATATATATATATATA